TTCAGTCCCCACGGGCGGGACACCTGAATCACCCCTTAGAAAACCCAGAGGAGAATCCTCATCAGAACCAACTATGTTGCTCACTGATCTCAGAGACTTCAGGCCTCTGAACCACGAGAAAGAAATTGCGACTGTCTCTGGTTCTTTGTTACAGCTACCAGAGTAGACAAAGCTGCTTAAAAAGAAAGAACACCAGTTGCCAGATTTTCTTTTTTCTTTCTTTCTTTTTTGTTTTTTGTTTTTGTTTTTGCTTTTTGAGTCAGGATTTCTCTATAGCTATAGAGCCTGTTGGAACTAGCTCTTCTAGACCAGGCTGGCCTTGCACTCACAAAGATCTGCCTGCCTCTGCCTCCCAAGTGCTGGGATTAAAGGTGTGTGCCACCACACCTTTAAGATTTTCATCCTTAAGTCCTAAAACTTACCAACGACAAAATCGGTTGGGCAAGATGATTTGTAGCTTTCTGGTGGAGATCATTGCCTGAGTGCCCTTCTGCACTCTGAGAAGACACGGTTTCATTTACTTCAGACTGGCCTAGAATTCACCACGTAGCTAAAGATGACCTTGAACTACTGATATTCATTTTCACCTTTCAAATACTGGAATTACAGGAGTATGCCACCGTGCCCCGCTTTTCAGGGTGCAGTCAGGGCCTCATGCATGTTAGGCAAACACTCTATTAAGCGAACATCTCCAGCTCCTCATATAAAGGTTAATCTCTCTTTTTTTTAAAGTGCGTGCATGTATGTGCATGTGTGTGTGTGTGTGTGTGTGTGTGTGTGTGTGTGTGCATTGTTGGGTATGGGAATGCTAGTGTGTAGAGATTGAAGGGCAACTTTGTGGGGTTGGGTCTCTCCTTTCAACTTTATGTGAGTTCTGGGAATTGAATTTCAGATGCCAAGCTTTGTGCGGTAAGTGAAACCCGTAAGCGTTTTGTCAGATTCCTGTGCCATGCACGCACACACACACACACACACAAACACACACACACATGCACGCACGCACACACGCAAGCATGTATGCACGCACACACACATGCACGCATGCACACACTCACACACAGATACCAAAGCCACTCTTGTAGATTTGAAGCCATGGCTTGCAAATTAGGCACTCCTAAATTAAGTTCAGAGAGCAAAGTATTTTTTTAATTGCTGCAACATTTAAACAGTGTGAGGACCCAGATTTTTGGCTTCTCTTGAAAGACTGGAATATGTGCAGCGCTGGACTCAGCAGCAATTAGCAAGAAGTGGGTAGCAGCTGCGCTGCTTAGATGGCCACCTGCTCCCCAGCTTGGTCACCTCTACCACTCTCATTTGGGTGAGCATATAACTTGTCCAAATAGGGCACTTTTGAGGGTGAAAAAGGTGCCATTTGTAATTACCTGGACCACAGGCATAAACCAGGGCTGTTGTGTCCAACAAGGACATATTACTTCCCTGTCACTTGCTTCATCTTTCTTTGTGTCCTTTTATTTAGGATTTGTCTCTTAAAATCTGGTAGCCTCATGAAGAGAGAAACATATAAAATGAGAAATTGAAGTTTGAAAAGAAACCAAAGCTATTCCAAACAATATTTCAAATAAGCTGCAGGGCTGGTGAGATGGCTCGGGGGCTGCAGATGTGCAGGCTGGTGAGATGGCTCGGGGGCTGCAGATGTGCGGAACTAGTGAGATGGCTCGGGGGCTGCAGATGTGCAGGGCTGGTGAGATGGCTCAGGAGCTGCAGATGTGCAGGCTGGTGAGATGGCTCGGGGGCTGCAGATGTGCAGGGCTGGTGAGATGGCTCAGGAGCTGCAGATGTGCAGGCTGGTGAGATGGCCGGGGGCTGCAGATGTGCAGGTTGATGAGGTGACTCAGGGGCTGCAGATGTGCAGGGCTGGTGAGATGGTTCAGGGGCTGCAGATGTGCGGGGCTGGTGAGATGGCTCAGGAGCTGCAGATGTGCAGGCTGGTGAGATGGCTCAGGGGGCTGCAGATGTGCAGGCTGGTGAGATGGCTCAGGGGGCTGCAGATGTGCAGGCTGGTGAGATGGCTCAGGGGGCTGCAGATGTGCAGGGCTGGTGAGATGGCCGGGGGCTGCAGAGGCTTGCTACCAAATCTGATGATCTGAGTTTGAGCCCTGGAACCCATGTAGTGGAAGCAGCGAGCCAACTCCACTAGCTAGCTGTTCCCTGTGACCTGCACACTCCCACTGTGTGGGTCTGTGTATGTGCAGCACACACCCACATTAAAATAGCTAAATGAAATGAACACCAATTCCACCAAACCTATGAAGTATAGCTTTCCTCACTCAGAGCTGCTCCGTGTTAAATGTGACCTGCTAGGCTCCCTATGTATAGGTCAGGGACGCACGCAGCACTGCCAGTTTTAATAAGCTGAAAGCCCATAGTGACAAGCACGACTAATCAAACTGCAGAGAACAGCCTGTTTCTAATCAGGGAAGCACAGGATGGACACTCAAATGCGTTTCTCAGTTTGCTTCATGTTGCCTCCATGGGGGTAAAATCCCTGATAAGACAGTTGCTTCACATTCTAGCCTTTGATGGTCTTTGAACTTTTTATTAAATGTCTTTAATTATATTTAATATCTGCTTTAAAATGTTTTCTCTTTACTTAGCTAGAAAATAACAAAATATCCCTGTCCCCTCCCCAAATGTACAAGAAACCTCAGCTCCCATTGATCACTTGCCTTAGTCAGGGTTACTGTTGCTGTGATGAAACACCGGGGAGGAAAAGGTCTATTAGGCTAACACTTCCGCAGCACTTCTCACCACTGAAGGAAGTCAGGACCGGAAAACTCAAATGGGAGAATCCTAGAGGCAGGAGCTGACACAGACATCTGCCAGGCCACCTGTAGGCATCACATGGTACTGTGGGACACATCTGCCAGGCCACCTGTAGGCATCACATGGTACTGTGGACACATCTGCAGGGCACCTGTAGGCATCACATGGTACTGTGGACACATCTGCCAGGCCACCTGTAGGCATCACATGGTACTGTGGACACATCTGCAGGGCACCTGTAGGCATGGCGTGGTACTATGGACACATCTGCCAGGCCACCTGTAGGCATGGCGTGGTACTGTGGACACATTTGCCAGGCCAACTCTCCCACTGCGATAGTTCCATCGCTTCTTTTGTTGACTCGCTCAGTATCCTCAACTCCGAAACCAGTCAAAATAAAATGGAGGAAGGGATGGAGAGAAAGATATTGAGACAGGGTCTTGCTATGTGGGTCAGGTTGGCCTTGAACTCAGTCTTCCTTCCCTGTCTCCGAAGTGTTGGACTCAGGCAGGTGCCAGTACTCAGAACTAAGAATTTGCGACAAAGGTGAATAGTTGTGCTTTACTCTGGGAAGCGAGACTTTAACCCGGCAGTTGAGAAGCGACAATTTCTGGAAGACTTTCAGGCAAGCCCAAACCACCCTTCTACTGAACCTCGGTTTACAACATGGGGAGAACAGGCCCACCCAGGCATACTTGTAGGGTCACCAAGCTACACAATGCTCCAAAGGGGGCCACTACTGTGACTCAGGGAGTAAAGGCACTTGCCCAAGTCTGAGTGAGTCCTAGAATCTACATGGTGGAAGGAGAGCGCCTGAGAGCTGTCCTCGCCACATGAGTTAGGACATTATTTGTAAACACACACACAGGCAGGTGTTAACAACTGCTCCAGAGACTGTGCTGAACATCCGTTACTGTGTGAAGTAGCATGGCCTGAGAGCCACTAGTCATGTAACGTAGAGAGGCCGGTAAAGTATATTGAGTAATATTCCTTCAAATCCAACATGGAAATTTCTTTAGATACTAAATGATAAAATCTGGAGCAAGTTTTTTCCCACGAGAAAACTTTAGGACAGTACCTGTACCATGGAAATTTAATACTTTAGTAAATTTACTCCCACTAACAAAAAAATCAACACACAGTGGAGGCTTTTTGTTTTTTTTTTAATTAAAAATGTTTATTGGCTATTGCCCTTAATACATTTAAAACATAAAAGAATTTTTTCAAATGTGCTAATAAGAAAAAGACCCAGGGACCTGAACAATGTTTAACAAAATTTTCAGTGTTTTGGGCATAAATAAAACTCATAAATTGATATGGATTCTTGGATATTTACTAGTAATCCTTCAATAACGGGTTTGGTATTGACCAAGAATACAAACACATAAACAAGTACAAAATACATTCAACAGAGATCACTGAGAACACAAACTGTCTCCATAGTATCCTTTGCATTCATGAGAAGTCATCATACCACTAATGGAAAAACCAAGTTGAGTTTCTAACACATAAGAATACAATTAACTACATAATTGTTACATAGAATGTTCAGTAATGCCCATTATAAAATTGAAGCCAATAAAATTTAAGAAATACATTTCTTGTATCTTCGAAAAAGATTTTAAATTGTTATTTTTATAAAAATTACATGTATATACATGTTTTGAGTATTCTATAGAAAAACTGATAAATATAGAAAAGCACACACACACAACAACAACAACAAAAAAACAAAAACCCTGTCATGATACCAACAAAACTATAGAATCAAGAGAACCCAGGAAGGACAACCAGACTCAGATCCTGCAGCTGCCAACCACCAACTCTGCAAACCACAGACCAAACTTCCTGATGCATTAAAAAAACAAACAAACAACAACAACAACAACAACAAAAAACTCCAGTCACTTCCCACCCAGCATGCCTTGGTGCAGGGGCTCCAAGACTGCCAGCCTAAGGAAAGATTTCATCTGGGAAACAGAGCAAGTACTTGGAAAATGAGCATCAATGTTGACCAGGAGAAGGGCTAAGCAAAGCTGGTTCCATCTGTAGGAGAAATCACTCTGGGAGAGAAGACTAGGAAGTCAATGTGAAACAGTCAACTGAGAAGAAGAGAGGCTCTGTGGACTCTGCTGAATTCTGGAGGGGGCATGGTCAAGGCTTGCAGTAAGAATTCAAATTACAGCTTCCCCAGAGATGGATAGGACTAGATTTGGAAAATTCCTTTTATGATATCCTTCCATTTCCTCAGAAATACCCAAACTACATGCAGAACGAAGGCTACTTTCAATGTTTGTGAACCAGTGCTGGTCCTCAAAGTCATGAAGAATTCCAAACAGAGATCATGTCAAGACAAATTCTGCCTTGATTATTTGACTCTGATGATTTACAACCAGAATGTCTTGCCATGTTTTTTAACAAGGAAAAGTTGACCCTGGAGGAAACATTCTGCTTTACTAAATCAAAACATGCTGAAGTTAAATTGAACCCTAAAAAGAAGATTCTAGAGATTCTCCCTAAAACCGTGTCTGCATTTGCCCAAAAGTCCCTGAGAGCATGAGGAGAAACAAAAACCCCTGTTCGAATCAGTCAGGTTTCTCTCCAGGCCCCAGCTGTGCCTCTCCCCCACCAATCTCAGCAGTTCCTAGACCCTCACCATCCTTTCAAAACTCTCTCACATCTAATGCTTTGTCTTCAACTAAACGAACCTCTATCTACTTGTGGAATAAGCCGAGAAAGTTTTAAAGTCATGGTTCATATCATTATGGTCCATTGAGGTCTCCAGCAGGCCTTCCTCCGCACCGCCATGGGCAGTCCGAGGCAGGTGCTCTTCACTCCTGCCATCAACACTGAAAGCTCAGGTCTTGGATTCTTTTCCCATTCTCAAGACATCTGTCGGCGGATAAGTTCTTTCAACTGTGCCAGAGTGTCACTTTTTAGTGCTTCCCGGATGGAGCAGAAAAATCTGAAGTAGTGTTCAAAGTTGTGCATCATGAGCAGGACGCCGGCCAGGAGCTCGTTGGTCACCAGCAGATGGTGGATGTATGCGCGAGTGTGATTCTTACAGCAGTAACAGGAGCACCCGCTCACGAGCGGGCTGAAGTCTTCCTGGTACCTGAGAAAGACAGAATCCAGAAGTGAAGAGACTAAGAAATTGACAACTAAGGTCTGGGTAGCCAGGGATACACAGAGAAAGCATGTCTCAAAACAAACAAACAAACAAACAAACAAAAAAAGGAAATCTACAACCCAGGCTACTTACTCCACTGGAGAGATGGCTAAGGTAAGAAGAGCCTTGCTGGGTACCCGCTCAAGGCGTGCTCTGACAGACACAACCTTACAAGTCTGCAGCCTGAGCCAGTCACAATGGTCACTCATCAGTGCAAAGGCACGTGGTGTGGGGCAGAGGATGCTCTCTTCCGCTCACGGGCACTAGTGTCAGCAGCCACCACATCCACCGGTTTAGCCAGTCTCTGCCTCTTCTCTTGGCAATGACCATTCTGACTCCCGTTTTACAGATGCAGACAACTGCTGCGTATTTAGAAGGAGGGCTCTGGTGGAATCCCTTGCCTAAGGGCTTGAGTCTGGGCTCTATAACTCAACTGGGCATGCTGTTTACTATCCAGCTATGCACGTATTTCTCATTCATTAACCAAAGATACTAACAGTCCACCTCCTGGAACTGTGAGGTTATTAAAGGAGCTAATACAGCAAAAAGGATCTAACCCTGATATTACACTTGTGTTACCTAAATATTATACTTAGGTAACACTAAATATTAGACTTGTGTTACCTTTCATTGCCTACTAAGGTATGTGACTTTTCCAAGATAATATAATCAAATGCATTAGTAGGTATTTGTCCCCAAAACTTTAACCTAGCACTGAGAATAAGCATATATATTACCCTAACATTTATATGAAAGACAATAATTTTGGCTACTTTAAAGAAAATATTAAAAGATATAGATGTTATCACTTCAGACCCACAATCATGAAATAGGATATAAACAGGATGTACGAATTTTACAATCTTTCATAAACATCTTATATAAATCAAACACACTAGTGCTATAGAGCAAACAACGCTCTGAGGCTGGTGACTACCACTTTTAGTCAAATGTAAAGTTACAAGACAACTCAATTCATTCCTTTTGTTTTTAAGACAAGATTTCCTACGTAGTTCCAGCTGGCCCAGAATTTGCTCAATAGATCAAGGCTGGTCTCAAACTTAGAGCTCCATCTGCCTCTTCCAACATGCTGGATTAGAGGTGAACCCACCATGACCCTCCTCGGTTCATTCTTCACTGATGGCTGATTTAGAACCTGTATATAGTCAAGGGGACTTGAGCTCTTTCCAATGTACAAGCTACACTGTGTCTTACTCTCAGTCCTCATTTTGCTCTGCTGTTACTTAAAGTAATCAGAATAGAAAAAAAAAAAAATCAAGCAACGGATTCAGCCTCTTTCAGACAGCTTTTCTAAAGCAATAGTTATCTAGCTTAGTGTTCTGACAAGACAAAGTACCCGAAGTCATCTGCAGAGGAAAAAAGGTTTTCTGGAACCATATTTGAGAAGGCCTAAGTAATGTCCAACTATAAATATTTTACGAAGTCATAAACTGAAAAGGGAACAGTTACATAAACTTAAGACTGTCCGAAATTAAAAAGTCAGAAATCAAAACCTAAACTTCAAAAAATTTCTTACTTTTTCTCTTTCAGATTAATTTCAAATGATGTCATTTCTTGGTTGCACCCAGCTGCTTCAATTTTCTTTATTTGATCCAAGCATTTTATTTCTTCTTGGATTCCATTCTGCTGCAATACTGAAGGGAAACCAATAAAAAGTCTTGAACGATCAGATAAGAAGTGCACACTGGAAAAATTTTAATCTAGTTATAATTTCACAACCTTTGACCCTATAACTCCATTCTTAGAATTATCCTAAGGAAATCACCTAAGAAAAAACAAACAGCAGTACATTCCTGGATGGCTGTTATCTACACCATCAAGACAACGAAGATATCTTAAAAGTCCAAGCTAATCATGGATCCAAGTATGTGATATATAATCTTGTCATAAAGGAATGATTTTAAAAAGAAAAACGGTGTGTGTGAGGGGGGTGTGTCCCTGACTTATCACGATGGATTTGTGACAGCAGACAGTCCAAGCAGGTTAACGTAGGACACGGCTTTAGTTTACCTCTTCTGTTTGGGACCTCTGGCTTTCCAAGGAACCCACAGTACCCTTGAGCTCCTTGCTTAATGGAGAAGCATGTCCTTCAACTACAACAGAAATCCAGCTCGCTCCAACACAGGAAGCAGAGAAGAGGAAAGCAATGAAAGCAATCCGTGCGGGTCCAGACAGCCAGATGGTTCTAGAATAATTTTAGTAAACCGACACGAGCACTGAACACAAAAATGCTATGGGATGGGATTGTTCACACGAACTGTGTGCTGAGATGGGAACACAATAAAGCTCTGGCATTTTGGAAAATCCTGGTCACTTAGGGGAAGAGCTGGCAACTTTCTTTAAACTCTTCGCTAGGTAAAATTCCACAGATTTTATAGTACGCGCAGACACAAATACGATTAAAGGGCTGAAAATAAAGGAAGAGGGAGAAAAGGAAGCCTTCCCGACAAGCTGGAGGGGACTGTGCAGGCCACTCATCCCTGAAGACAAGCTTCACACGGCCTGTGACTGGGTGGGTCCTCTTCCCTACCATGTGCATCAGGATCTGAAATTGCTTGTCTTGACTTTGAAATAACAATAAAAGAAAATGGCAGCACTTCAAAGTAGTATGAGCAGAAGAAAGCAGCTTTCAGATCTCAGAGAAGCAAAGGTGACATGAGCAGCCCATGACAGGGAGATCCCTGGGAGTTAATTGCATGGGGCTTGCAGGAGGGAGACAAGAAATCTTTTGTGGATAAAAAAATAAATTAACTTTTACTAAGCTGCTCAAAGGTTTCCTTTCCTTAGATTTTCATTACGATTTACTCTGAATTTTTCCCCCCCCGAGCTGTGAACAAAGGAGGTCTTGTTTTTGCAGACCACAAAAGTCCCATCTATATCGATGAACTACACATGTAGTATTAAGTGCCTTGCCCTAGGTGCCAATATTTCAGGGAACACAAGAAAAAAAAAACCAAGATGGACCTTTATGAAAGGCTGGAGCTACGTGTACATATTTGTGACTTGGGCCAAAAAGTCATGGGAAATGGGAGAAAGCTAAGAGTGAGGTGAATGTCAAAGACCCACATGTCTCTTCAGGATTCAGCTGGCAATCAAAGGTGAAAGTCAGGGCACAGCCCCGCTCAGTCACTTGATATGGGAAAAAACTCTCAAACAGGTCCACTCCTCTTTCAATACAATCGAGCACTTCGTCGGGCCGGCTGACTCCGCAGATGAGCCTGGAAAGACAGTCAGGACAACAAGGTAAGTCAATGGCCACGAAGAAATCAGAGAACGCTACCACATCAACGGGGCATATGAAAAACAGCAGCCAAACTCAAGCGCAGGGTGGCAGGGAAATGGCTGTGTTGCTTTAGGCAGTTCCTTTACACCCTGTTCTCTGGCTCTTCACTATAAAGAGCTCCACGAAACCATCATGAGGCCCAAGGAGGCAGTGGAAAAGCAAACAGTATCATTTCTAACTCTTTCCATTCGTCTTTCTGGTCCACCTCCCTGGCCACAGACTGAACTTTACACCCCATCTAAACACTGCATAGATACTTTTAAAAGAATATAATTTGCTTTATTTCTCCATTTTTGAGTGTATTTTACAGATTCATTTAACAGCTCCTCTTGTTCTCAGAATTTCAGCACTCACACAAGGATCTAAGACTTTCTTCGTATTTTCTTTGCTAATGAAAAGTCCACACTGGGAAATGAAATGGTATCTTCTAAGGGAAGGGCTATGGCAGTTTGGGAGCATGAATAATTTTCAAGAGGGTTTGGACAGGAAGGCAAGGCTCGGAGAAGCGACTGGCTAGCTGCAACTACTCCTCCTGTTAAAGTTTGGTTTTCTGCCCACAGACCTTTCCATGAATCAGGGCAGAAAAGCTTTCAGACTTTCTGATTTCTTAGAAGAGTTTTAACAATGCGTTTATGTAATACTAAGCAAGCAGAACCCTTCTATGTATGCCAGCTTTCCTGAATACAGCCTCCTTCCAGTCCTGTGAGGCTTTAGAACTCCACTCCAACTGAAGCTGGCATTTTACACACTTACAGAAAAACAATCCCAGCTTTCAAATTCAGAAAGAGACATCTGTGAACACTTAGCACAAAAAAGTCCAGAAAATGACTAGAAAAGCTCACGCTGAGCTATTCATCTGCAGCAGGGAAGGGGGTGATGCTAAAAACTGGTGCGCGCATGTGTGTGTGTGCCTGAATGTGTGTGTGTCTGTGTATGCACGTGATGGCTGTGAGAACGTGTTCTAGGGAATCTTCACACCCAAGTACACAGGTATGAGTCACTAAGCTGTCTCTATGATGCAGGCACACAATTATATTCAGCTCTCAAAAAGTACTAAGATTACACATGTCCTGTTTAATAGCCCTTGAAAATTAAATAGCATCTCAGAGCCAAATTTCCCAATATATCACTGGTTAAAAGGCAAGAATATTCAAATTAAGGATATAAGACTAAACAGAAAACTTTTTAAAACTGACATATAAAATTGTATATATTTTTCACAAACAATGTATTTTGGAATTTGCAGACATGAAATGGGTCAATCTAGCCAAATAACAAATCTCATACAATTACTGTTTTCCTGGTGACAATAATTCCCATTCTGCTCAGTTTTCAATAAATATTATCATCAGACTACACAACAAACCCATGGCATTTACCCCTCTGATTTAGCTGGAAGGACACATCCTTTGAGCAGCATCTTACCCACCTCCATGCTCCTGCTCACCCCAACCTCTGATAGCTCAACTTCAAGGAGAGGGACATTTTCAGACCCAACAAGAGTGAGGTCACACACAGGTGCCCTCTTTCTGAGCCTGCTTTATTTCATCCAATGTCATGACCTTTAGGGTCACCTACGGTTTTTGGTTTTGGCGTCTGTATATTTAATAAAGCAGGAAAAATGCAGGCTATAGCTCAGCTGGTCAAGTGCTTGGCTAACATTCACAAAGCTCTGGGCTCCATCCCCAGCGCCGGAGCAATGGCACACGCCTGTAATCCCAGCACTTGGGATGCAGAGGTCAGAAGATTCATAGCAAGTTTGAGGCCAGCCTGGACTACACAAGATTCCACAGAAGTAAAAAATAAATACATTAAGAAAATTTAGGTACTAGTATGGCATCAGCTGCTCTGAAATCCAGACTAGCCTCTCATCTCTATTACCACTGCAGTATTCAAAAGAACCAACCCTACGAGCTTCATCAATTCAAAAAACAAAACACCACCACTCACTGCTTACCACAAAAGCAGAAACTTCTCGAAGGTCCTTACTAACAGAGCATATCCTCATGCGACTAAGCACGCGGACTTCAACATGCCTTGACTTAAACGAGAATGGCACATGACTTTACACCTGTCTCCAGGTACCATGTCACAACAAATAAAAAGGAGTGTCTGTATTTGCCTCAAGGATGAGAGGACACATAATGAGAGACACATTTGTCCTCGGTTATAATAATCAAACTCATCTCATGCCGATTCTCCCCCTCTACATTCTGAAACCAGGAGAGCAGCCTAGAAGGAAACTGCCCAGCTGGCCGAGAATAAGACAGGAAGAACCAAGATATGGAAAGCACCCTGTGTAGACCGCATCACACCGTCACCAGCACCCCTGCCACCTCTCACGAGGCTGGCCTGCATCCTAACCCAGCACTGGCCTTGGTTTGTCCTCTGGCAGCTCTGCAGTGACTGACGAGAGCAAATGCAGCCTGGTTTCTGTGACTGTTGGATTTCCTTGAAAGCCGTCCAGAAGGAAGCCCCCCACAGGCCGCTTGGCTGTCTCTCGTGCGGACCTCAACCTCTCTTCCATCACATCTCCACCTTCAATCACTCCAATGATCATACTTTTCTGAAGGACCTAAGAGAAGAAAGAATTGAACGCCTTTAACCATTACAAGAACCCAAGACCTGTTTGCATGAACTTTTCATCGAAGTCCAACAGACAGAAGAAAGAGGTCTTTGAAAGTACTATAGATGTGCACTCCAAGAACCTTTCAAGCTCTAATGAACACACTGTAAAAAGAGGTTTTGCCTAGCAGCCAGGCAACAGCTAAGAGTCCTGTGGGAAGGCTGCTCTACCACTGCCGCCACCATTGGACACTATAACCTATAAGACCCACTCTGCTGCCCAAACCCACCCAGCCCATCATCACCTGGACAACCACCTCCCACCAAGATCAGCAGCCCCTAAAGGCACAAGCACCACCCATATCAATTGGAAGAAAAGCAGTCTACCTGCAAACAGCCCTCTCCAGCAACATCAGCAGACCCTATTAGCACACGTGCCACCCACACCAGATAGAACAGGCACAGGCAAAACCCACACCAGTTGGAAGAACAGACCCCATAGGCACAAGTAAAGTCCACACTAGCCAGAAGAACTGAAATATATGCTACAACTAGGCATCCAAACCCTCACAAACCTCAGCTGAGACAACCTACTCAACCGGACAATTAGCCAATTACCAGAACCCATGGCCATTCAGTAAAAAGACAATAAAGGAAACACACAATAAAGAACAAAAGACACATCTAATAAAGACATCATAAGAATCAACACCCATACCTATAATTATCCCAAAACCAGATGGGTTAACAGCAGTGTAAGAATACATCCAATAACAACAAGAGCAAAACGGCACTATCAGAACCTAGTGGTTCAACAACAGCAGGACCTGAACATCCCAATGCAGATGAAGCAGAAAATGACCTTAAAAATAGCTTTATGAGATGATAGAGGCCCTTAAAAGGAAATGAAAAGTTCCCTTAAAGAAGCGGGAGGAAAAGACTAAAAAAAATTGTAAATTGGTAAATCCTTTAAGAAACCCAAAAAAACAAAAAAAACAAAGAAACAAACAAGTGAAGGAAGCAGTTCAAAACTTGAAACTTGAAATAGAGGCAATCAAGAAGACACAAACCGAGGGAATTCTGGAAATGGAAAATCTGAGTAAGAGAACAGGACCTAGAGATGCAAACATAACCAACAGAATACAAGAAGTGGAAGAGAGGAACTCAGGGTTGAAGATACAAGAGAAAATCTTAAATTCAACAAATTCTTAACATAAATCTGGAACACCATGAAAAGAACAAACCTAAGAATAATAGGGACAGAAGAAGGAGACAAAGTCCAGCTCAAAGACACAGAAAATATATTTAACACATCATAGAAGAAAACTTTCCCAACCTAAAGGACATGCCTATAAAGATACAAGAAGCTTACAGAATACCAAATAGACTGAACAACGACAAAAAAGTCCCCTTGCCACAGAATAATCAAAACACTAAACATGCAGAATAAAGAAAGAATACTAAGTGCTATAAAGGAAAAATGCCAAGTAACATATAAACACAGACCTATCAGAATTAGACCCAACTTATCAATGGAGACCGAAAGCCAGAAGGTCCTAGAGAGATGTTTTGCAGACACTAAGAGACCACAGATGCCATTCCAGACTACTACAGCCAGCAAAACTTTCAATCACCATAGATGGAGAAAAGAAGATTCTGCCAGACAAAAAATTAACAGAGAAGTAAGGGATCTAATGGATGTTATGACTCAAATGGACTTAACAGACATCTAAAGACCACTTCGCCCAAACACAAAAGAATATACGGCACCTCAGGGAACTGTCTCTAAAATTAACCACAGAAGCCAGGCAATGGTGGCACACGCCTTTAATCCCAGCACTCGGGAGGCAGAGGCAGGCAGATCTCTGTGAGTTTGAGGCCAGCCTGGTCTACAAGAGCTAGTTCCAGGACAGGAACCAAAAACTATGGAGAAACCCTGTCTCGAAAAATCCAAAATAAAATAAAATAAAATAAAATAAACCACAGAGTCGGTCACAAAGCAAATCTCAACAAATACAAAATAATCCCCTGTATCTTATTGGATTACCAAGGTTTAAAGTTAGAATGCAATAGCAACATTAATTGCAGAAAGCCTACAAACTCATGTGGTGCGGGACAATTCTGTATTCTGTCAATTATGTCTTAAATAAATGCTGATTGGCCAGTAGCCAGGCAGGAAGTTTAGGTGGGACAACCAGACAGGAAGTAGAGGTGGGGCAATGAGAACAGGAGAATTCTGGGAAGGAGGAAGCCCTTTCTTCCCAAGTCCTGTCCAGACACTGAAGAAGCAGGATGTGACCTACCCCACTGAAAAAGGTACCGAGCCATGTGGCTAACATAGATAAGAATAATGGGTTAATATAAGTTATAAGAGCTAATAAGAAGCCTGAGCTAATGGGCCAATCAGTTTATAACTTATATAGACTTCTGTGTAATTTCTTTGGGGCTTACCGGCTGTGGGAACTGGGCAGGACAGAAACCACAACAACTCATGGAAACTGAAAAACACTCAACTGAATCACCACTGGGTCAAGGAAGAAATAAAGAAAGAAACCAAAGACTTCCTATAATTCAACAAAATTGAAGGCACAATATACCCAAACTTATGGGACACTATGAAAGCAGTGTTAAGAAGGAAGCTCATAGCACTAAGTGCCACATAAATAAGCTGGAGAAATCTCATACTATTGGCTTAGCAGTCACCTGAAAGCTCTAGAACAAAAAGAAGCAGACTCACCCAGGAGGAGCAGACGACAGGAAACAAACTGAGGGCAGAAATCAACAAAATAGAAACAAAGAACAATACAAATAATCAATGAAACAGAGTCGGTTCTTTGCGAAAAATCACCAAGACAGACAAACCCTTGTGCAAACTAACCAAAAGGCAGAGAATATCCAAATTAACAAAACAAAAAATCAGAAATGAAAATGGGGACATAACAGACATTGTAGAAATCCAGAGAATCATTAGGTCATACTTAAAAACCCCGTACTTACAAAATTGGACAATTTTCTAGATACCACATACCAAAATTAAATCAAGACCAGATAAACAATTTAAGTAGACCTATAACTCCTAAGGAAATAGAAAGTTATTTAAAAAAAAGTCTCCTAATCAAAAAGAGCCAGTGATGGAGGTGGGTCTTTATCTATCTGTTGCTTTCATTGGTTAATTAATAAAAAAACTGCTTGGCCCTGATAGGACAGAAAATTAGGTAGGCGGAGTAGACGGAACAGAATTCTGGGAGAAAGAAGCCGAGTCAGGCAGTCGCCATGATTCTCCCACCAGACACAGATGCAGGTTAAGATCTTCACTGGTAACCCACCTCGTGGGCTACACAGATTATTAGAAATGGGTTAGAACAATATGTAAGAGCTAGCCAATAAGAGGCTAAAACAGTGTTTAAAAAAATACAGTTTCCGTGTAATTATTTTGGTAAAGCTAGCCGGGTGGCGGGATGTAGTCCACTGCCCCCATACAACAAGCCCGATTAATTCAGATGCTGGGCAGGATTGTCACCACTTCCTTTTTCCACTTCCATAGCAGACACAGCTAAAAGACAACTCCCTTCCTGTAGCCCTGGCACAAATCCAAGCACTGGGACAAAACCAACCTAGGTTTTATTTATTTTACTATACTCAACGTAGGTATTATCTGAGAAATAAAAAAATGGCCAAAACAGAACGTGGGAGAGCCTCAGTACTGAATGGTATAAAAAAGAAGCTTCATAGCCAGGTGGTGGTGGCACACACCTTTAATCCCAAGCATTTGGGAAGCAGAGGCAGGCGGGTCTCTGAGTTCAAAGTCAGCCTGGTTTACAGAACATGTTCCAGGATAGTCAGGGCTACACAGAGAAACCTTATCTCAAAAAACAAAAAGAAACAAAAAATAAGCAAGCTAATAACCACCACCACCAACAACAACAAAAGAGCATGATCCAGAAAGGAATCCCAGGAAAACATGTTTGCATGCACAGAGCAGACGGTGGACAGGCCTGCCCCTTCACAGCACTACCACAGTTTTGTGTAGGAATCTCCTGTTCATGGACATGAGCAGTTTGGCTGTGTACTTACTGCACTGTTTAAAATGGAACACTTAAGAAAGGAGGCACTATTAGCAATGTCAAGACACGAGCACTCAGAATACAGAAAGGTACCCAACACTTACTGGCCCTGACTGCTTCAGCCTCATGTCCCACGTGCTGAGTGCTGGCATCAGGAATGAGCACCAAGTCTGCCTCATCAGCCCTTTGCTTCCCTGCCTCCTGTGCTCTCACTAACTGTGCTCGCAAATGCTACAATTTGCTGGTACAGCCTCATCTTTATCAGCTCGTCACAACACTTCACTACGGCTCACAGTATGTCAGACGCTCTGTGATACGATACAGATACAAATCCAGCACGCAAAAGCAGAGTTTATGGAGACTATAGCTTAATAAAAGCAAATGCGTAAAGAAACTGGTGTGGTATGGTATGGCTGGGCTACAGCACACGTGTATTAAAGGAGTAACAAAGGATGATGGGTTCCCAGAAGAGTCAGGGAAGTTCCATAAATTGGCGAGTGAATAAATGGACCCGGTGGAAGCCAGAGAGGGACTATGCCTGGAGATGAAAGGAAAATCCAGGGGAAGATAGGTGGCCCAAAGTGAAACCGAGAATGCTTCAAGGAACTGAAGTCATTCCGAGAGAGCCGACGGCAATCACAGGGTATGCAGTCCATGATGAGCAGACGGTGAGAAGTGAAGAAACACTGGATTCCTTAGCAAAGGAGGCAGTGGCTCATCCATGCTTTACACAGGCATCTTCTGGAAAGCAAAGATGAAGACCAGACAGAAACGAGAGCGGAGGCAGCTAAAACAGCTCAACGGTAACCACCAGCCCAAGAGACAGGCACAACAGCAGTGTGAGAAGGGACAGATCTGAGGCGTGTTTACAGAGACAGGAGGAAGGAGGTAGACAACCGGTCAGTAACGTGCATGATCAGTAAATCTAAAGTGTAAACTCCTGGGCCGAGGAACTTGGTGAATGCCATAGGCCAAGGTAAGTATTGAGGGTGACTAGGCTTGAGGAAACGAGACCAGGAGTCCAGCTGCCCGGACCTGAGCCTTCTAAGGCCAAACTCGGCTACAGTCCAGGATGTACGGAGTTATAACTCTCACGGCGAGTAGAAGGAAACTGACAGTGTATACATTTCCAAAACTCTTCACCAAATAATGAAAACCAAGGGAAGGCAGATTGGGGACAGCGCACGGCACAGTGAAAAGAACCCACCATGGAATCCTGGAGAAGGAAAGGAAGACAGGAAAGAGACAAAGAAGTGAGCAGGGAAGCAGGCGGAGAACAGCTAAGGCGCAAAGATGCGGAAGGGAGGCGAGCGTTTCCAGAGCGGCTAGTGGGCGGCCTCACCTCAGACTCTTCCTGTAGTCGCAAACAGCTGTCCAGGAACTGAAGGGACCGGTCCACAGACTTCCTGGCCCTCTTTATGGAAGTTGCTTCTGCACAAGATGCCTCGCCATCTGAGAGGCACTGGAACCAGTCCGGCTGCAGGGCCTCCTGAATGGCCATGAACTTGGAAACGGTCATTTCCACTCGACCTCCAAAACCCCACACAGACACAGACTGCGTGGAGCAAGAGATGAGGAATTACCAAGAGTAACATGAACATAAAAAGGAACCAGGAAAGTGGGACATGGCGATTCCTAACAGCTGCAGAGAGGAGACAACTCAGGACCCTGGATAGGTAAGAGATTCACCACACTTTTTCTAGGAACCTATGGCCCCGACAATATCTTTCAGTGGCTATGCAGTCCAACGCCTGAACTATCCCCAGAGAATTCTTCACCACGCCTCTCTGGTGCAGTTCTCCCTGTCTCCTCCCCCGACTCAAGCCCACGGATCGAGACTCTGAGGCCTTCCGACCTCCCACCCCAGTCTATTTTAGCTTCCTAGCTTCCTCCTACCTCCCTGTCTGGCTAAGATACTCCGTATGCATCCTTGAGGGAACAAAGTTTACATATTCCCTCTGCTAATGCCCGCACTTTAGATGTCCTGGACACAATTCATGGTTCCCTCCTCTAAGCTCCTGCAGTAATTTATATCTACACGAATAAAACATACCATTTTAAACAAGTTCTAATTAAAAATCAGAAGCTCAATTGAAAACAATATTCATGCCAAGTGGTAGTGGCAACACACTTTAACCTCCGTACTTGGGAGGCAGAGGCAGGCAGATCTCTGAAGTATTAATTTAATTAATCTTATCAATAAAAGCCAGGAGTCAGAAATTAGAATTAAAAACCTTAAAGATCAGAGAGGCAGATGAACAGCCACCAGCTACTTCCTATCTCTTGTTTCTCATCCAAAAGGGCCGAGATCGTGTCTCTCTCTATAGTCCTCCAAACCTCTACAGTCGGCTGGAGGCTGGCTCCACCCTCTGACTCTAAGCAAATGTTATGTGTCAGAATACAATCAAAATATCACAATAGATCTCTGTGAGTTCAAGGCCAGTCTGGTCTACACACAGCCTAAGATAGAGAGAAACCCTGTCTCAGAAAGAAAAAGAAAAACAAATCACACCAAACCAAAAGCCAGCCTTGAAAAAGAAAATACATCAGGAGGAAGTGACTGTGGTTGCCAGGCAGTGGTGAGCACTGAGCAGATGCTGTATGAAGGGGTGGGGCAAACAGAGCCTGGCTCAGGTGAAACTTTTAACAGAGCTTCCGATACCATCCTCCACTCGCTACAACCTGACTAGAGGTCCAGCCTTCCAATCCTGATCTACCAGCAGCAGTACCGACCGAGGCTCCACGCTACAGGGTACACCTTCATAACTCACCAGCAACTCTCCTGCTCTTCCCGGTGAAAGAATCACACGCACAACGCCACGCCCAAAGACTGCATTACTCTCCTCTCAGCAATTCCCATTGGGCAGGTACCTGACCTTCTCTACTCTCTAAGCCCATGGTTCTCAACCTTCCTAATGCTGTAACGCTTTCATACGGTTCCCATGTTAATAGTGTCCCCCAACCATAAAATTATTTTTGTTGCTACTTCGTGTCATTTTGCTACTGTTATGAATCGTAATGCAGATATCTGATATGCGACCCCTGTGGAAGGGTTGTTTGAGGCCCACAGGCTGAGGACCGCTGCTCTCAGTGTTCCCAACACAGAAATGCTGAGGATCTGCTGCCCAACTTAACTCATCTTCAAGCAGCCCTCCTCAGTCTTCTACACCCTCACTCTGTTAAATCCTGACCACAAACAGAGGGCATCAAGGAATCGTGCAGCATTTGAGGGTCCTGGGGACCAGGCTGAGAACGTACCTTATTTGTTACATAACCAGATGGGCCGGGGCTGACTGGATCGTGCAGGGAGCAGTAGAAGAGAGATTCTGGCATGCCTGTGTAGACACAAAAAGAACCGTTAAGAGTGCTATGGGAAAAAGCTTTCCGGCATGCCAGCACGTGCTGGTAGATGAAGCAACTCTAATCTCAGCAAACAGTTGGAACCTCATCTTGGATTTATAGAAGGCCTGTGAAAGGAAGGAAATTATTTGAGACCTTCCAACACAAAAGAATTAAATGTAAAGATTCACACAATACAAACATGACACAAACCTAGACATACAGAAGAGGGAATTCAATTGAGAAATGGCTTCCATGACACTGGAATGTGGACAAGCCTGTGTGGCATTTTCCTGATCACTGACTGATGATGGAGCACCCAGCTCACTGTGGCAGTGCCATCCCTGGCTTGCTGGTCCAGTGTTGTATACTAAAGCAGGCTAAACGAGTCATGCAGATCAAGCAAGCAGTGTGCCATCTGGGGCCTCTGCTTAAGTTTTTGTCTTGATACGTTAAGTATCTAAATAAACCCTTCCCACCCCAAATTGCTTTTGGTCACAATATCTTTATCAGAGCAGTAGAAACACTAACACAGAAACTGGTGTCCGGTTCAGGGGAAACTACTTTGATGACCAGGTTATTTTGGACAGCCCTGTGGAAAGAAAGACTTGGAACTTTGGATTCTATCGAGTGCTTGGAGTTTACTGAGCTGTTGTGGGAGCCTGGAAGGAAATGTGGAAACCGATGCAGACAGTTGCAGGCCTGGTTTGTGAAGTCCCACGAAGGCTATCAGGGATAGTCTTATGATATTTTGAATTGAGAATCTACGGTTCTGATCAGCTGGAGCTGAAGTATGAGCTGTGATTAAAACGACACCTGAACCACTCAAGAGAAACCTTTGCTTTACTGGGACAATCTATGCTGGTTAGGGGGAACTGAAAAACCAGCAGTGATTAAGATCAGCATCAGAGGTGCAGTGGTCTCTAGAGAGGGTCAAGACAGCATCTCATGCTAACACCTCAACTTTATAAGATTTTCCCATGTGGCACTGGTTTCGAAGGCACGAAGAGGTCATGGAGAGCAGCTGAGGCTTGGCACTATGAGAGCCCAGGAAAGACTTGTGGTGACGGAGAAGGCTCAACTGTGTAGAAACCCCAGGACTTTAGGGTTAGGAAGAGAAGCTCAGGACTGGTACCATGGGCCAGACAGTTGGAGTGCTTGAAGAGAGGCCAAGCCATTGGTGAAGGTGCAGCTTGAGGAGATGCCAGGACCATGAGACATCTGACAAGGACTGCAGACCTGTGGGATGGAGCTAGACAAGCCTATTAAATAAGCTGTGTGTGCCGGGTTGCACAGGCACCTGATGTGGGATTCCCCTCTGTATGCTATGAATACCATTGGTTAACAAAGGCCTGTGATAGGGTAGAGTAGAGCTAGGCAGGGAAAACTAAACTGAATGTTGGAAGAAAGGAGGCAGAGTCGGGGGAAGCCATAGAGCCGCCGCCAGAGACAGACATGCTGAAACCTTCCCGGTAGGCCACGATCCTCGTGGTAAAATATAAAATGGAGAAGGGTTAATTCTAGATGTAAGAGCAGCTAGCAATAAGCTTAAGTAATTGGCCAAGTAGTAATCAATTAATACAGTTTCTGTGTGGTTATTTTGGGAGTCTGGGAACACACAAGCGGCCTCATACAACAGCCACCTGTAACTCAGGTTCCAAGGGATCTAACATGGTCTTCTGACTTCTAGGGGCAGCAAGCATGCACGTGGTGCACACACATACATGCAGACAAAATATCCAGACACATAAAATATTTTAAAAAATGATTAGTAAACCACAGATACTTAAATTCATATGGTACTCCACATTTCCCATAGATTTCACTTTAAAAAGGAGAAGGAAACAAATTTAAAAAGTTAACAGCCCCGGTGGTTCTACCTTATTTGCTAAACTTCAGTCATTACAATGATCTCTGGCAAGTGCATGCGAGCCATAGGCAGTAGACTCTGAAGCTTGCTGTTGTTTTTGCTCTTTACTCCTGGCTCTTTTGGGGGGCCCATCACTCAGCTCCCACATAATCACAGAGTCTTATTCTTACTTACAAATGCCCAGCCTTTGCTTGGCTTGTTTCTAACAAGATTCTCTTATATCTTAAATTATCCCATCTAGCTTTTGCCTCTGGGCTTTTATCTTTCTCTATTTCTGTACACCTTACTTTCACTCATACTCCATGGCTGGCTGGGTTGCTGGCTACTGACATTTTCTCTCCTTATTCTCTTGCTGCTCCTTCTTCCAGATTATTCCTATTTGTTCTCTGCCTGCCAGCCCCGCCTCACTGTTGGCCATTCAGCTCTTTATTAGACCATCAGGTGTTTTAGACAGGCAAAGAATCACTGCTTCACAGAGTTAAACAAAAGCTGGTGATTGCAATTGTTCTCAGCTTATGGAGCCTGAGATTTCAGAACCCCCTCTTCTGAACAAGCAAGGCATCATGAAACTTCCTTCTAAAGAGAAGATGGATGACCAAGGATACAGGAGCCATTTACTTAACAAAGCCTAGATGTTGGAATTGAGGAGAAAGTGGTCTGATGTGGGAAGGTCATTTGTCAATCTGTTGTTTCATTGGTAATCAATAAAGAAAACTGCTTGGTCTGATAGGTCAGAAAATTAGGTAGGCAGAGTAGACAGAACAGAATGCTGGGAAGAAGGGAAGTGAGCCAGACGCCATGCCTCTCCTCTCTGGTCAGTTGCAATGGAGCTCAAGCCCAAGATGGATCTAGGTTAGAATCTTTCCGGTAAGCTTGGGGTGCTACACACATTAATAGAAATGGGTAATCAAGATGTGAGAATTAGCCAATAAGAGGCTAGAGCTAATGGGCCAAGCAGTGTTTATATGAATACAGTTTGTGTGTTGTTATTTCGGGGCATAAGCTAGCCAGGCGGCCGGGAGCTGGGTGGCAGGAAAGCGGCCCGCAGCTCCTCACTACAGTGGTCCACAGATGACCCAGTTCCACAGCTGCTACAACTAAGGTTTTCCTCCAACTAAATAAAAGGGCACACACATCTGCACATAAAGTTCTACTTCCAGAACAAAAGATACTAACCCATCAGAACACATGAATGAGGCTCATGCACGAGCTCTGGAGTGTATGTATCCTATGGTCTTTGGAGCATTGGCCCCACCCATTTACCGTAACTACTGGCTAACACCTAATCCAACCAGACACCCCCTAATCTTCTTCAAGAATTCTTTATTCTGACCCCTTTCATATGTACCCAGAGCAGGTTATATGCCCCCTGTGGTCTGTCATATATATGTATATAAACCTGACTCTACAAAGCAGTAAGAATCGTGTGTTTCTCACTGAACCTCCAATCGCCAATGCTTCGCTCTTAGATGCCCTAAAGACAATTATTTAAAAAGAAGAAATAAATGTATGAATCACAGTTAGGTCAGCAGGACCAACAAACTCCAAACTGACACATCACAAATCACATATACACGTAATTTAAATAGTCGTTACCTATAAAACTTCCAACTCCTTTTTTATACTCTGCCAAGACTTCATGATGTTCTGCTCTGTAAGAAAAACAGAAAAAAGCACAGCATAGCAATGGAAATGGATCACTCTTTAGCTACTCTGTACAGCACCAGAAACCCTTCTCCTCACGCAAATAAACCACACGACAGTTAATGCAACCCTCAACAACAAAACACTTCGCTTTTCAATATGTGCAACCAGCAGGGCTGGGTTCATTAGTTAAAATGAAGGCATATAATATACCAGTAGTGCAAAAGAAACATAGACAAACACCTGGATTTCCTTCCATTTTCTTGTCCTTTTAAAATCACTATTAACACAATAACTCAGTCACTTGTCATACAAGTTTCAATTAAACAGGTTTTCTGATTTCATCTTTAAAATCTATAAACTATGCATGTGAGAAAAAAGAAGAAAGAGAAGAAACCTTCCTCTCTGCTGCATCTAAGGGCTGGATACCTGAATGATTAGGTTCAGCACTCACAAGGTTGACAGTGTGAGCTGGACCATGGCTGGGACCCCATGGATATTATGCAGTGTGTGATGTGTCAGGTGAGGGGCAGAGCCAGTCCTGGTGTAGAGAAGACAGCCTGGAATGTCCACTGTGCGGTCCCCTGCCTTGCCCAGGTTTTGTATTTTTCCTAGACGGCAGCCATTAACGACTTTGACGAGACTCAGCTTCATCTTTAGGGATTCTTCCAGGTTCTGAGAAGAAAACAGCATTAAATTTAGAAGGCAATTCTTGGCATCGAAAGGCTAAGTACTTTGCAAAGAAAGCAATATGCACATAAATGAAGGGCTGTGTGTCTATTACCTCTAGCTCACATCTTACTATCTGATCAGGATCAGGACAAGGTGTAAAAAAAGACCAGGATTCTTTCTCCAATGTCCCATAACAAAATGGTAACAATCAGTTTGACATGCATTAACATTTCATTTGTATTTTAATAAATAGAGCTTGCCTGAAGATAAGAGAGACAAACAGCCCCACTGGTCAGCCTTACAGACCAGGCAGTGAAAGTACACACCTTTAATCCCAGGAGCCACACTAGTAGCCACAGTGCATGGGCAGTACATGCCTTTAATCCCAGTACAAAATGTGAGGAGACAGCTCTCAGCCTCAGTCTCATTTTGAGATTCCTGGAGACAGGATCACCATTTTAGACTGAGGTAGAGTAAGAGCCAGTGACTGGCTGCTTTTTTTCTGGTCTTCAGGTTGAACTCCAATATCTATCTGAGTTTTTATTAATCATGCTTCATTTTATTAACCGTCTATGAGTGCGTGTGTGTGTGCTTGCACATGTGCACGTGCTTTTGTAGAAGCTGATGAAACAAAGAAAATGAAAGGCCTGAAATAAAAATTAGCCGGGTGGTGGTGATGCATTCTTTTAATCCAGACACTCGGGAGGCAGAGGCAGGAGGATCTCTGTGAGTTCGAAGCCAGCCTGGTCTACAGAACTAGTTCCAGGACAGGCTCCAGAGCTACAGAGAAACCCTGTCTTGAAAAACCAAAACCAAACAAACAGACAAAAGAAAAGAAAAAGAAAGGTTAATTGTCAAAGAAAGGCACGCGAGGTCACTCTGCCTTGAAAACATGCAAGGGAGGACCATACTCTTTAGAGCACGTGTTACTTACTAATTTGAACCACTTTTCTTTCTCCAACTTGAGAAAATATTAAGCAATATTTTTCCCTTCTATTAGTGTTATTCAATAAAAAAGATTCCAAAACAGTATATGAATATACATCATAGACTGCCCAGCATAAAGTAACAGATTATCTGCAAAGTGGGATCGTATTCCAGTTCATTCACATCGAGATGAGAAAAACCATGTGAGCATATAAGTGATCTATGAATGATTTCATAATGGGAAAGGTAAAACTTTTTAAGAAAAAAATACAGATACTCTTTCTAACTTCTATAGATACACCAAGAGGATTTGAAAAAACAACAGAAAACATTATTTATAGCAAGCTGTTAAATAATTAGTACTCAGTGTGAAAAGTTATGAGCTTTTAAGATGCACAGGAGGGCTAGGGAGATGGCTCAGTGGGTAAAGGTGCTTTCTGCCAAGTTTGCCAACCTAGGTTTAATCTCCCTTGTAAAAGGGGAAGAACAGAACTTATTCTACAGAGTTGACCTTTGACCTCCACGTCACAGCACCTACACACAGACAAGCACACACTTTTTAAAATTTAAATGTCACTGGACATATCAACATTTTATAAACACTACATTACATCACTACTTGTCATTTGGAGCAGGCCAAGATTGTGTGCATGTGACTGTATGAGGCCAGTAAGGAACCCCAACTCCCCAGGATCCACCTGTTCAGCACCCCAGTGGGGAGCTACATACAGGTGCATAATGGCCATGTCAGGCATTTACATGGGTGCTGGAGACCCAAACCCAGGTCCTCATGCTTGCAGAGCAAACACACACTGATTCATCCCCTCAGCCCTATATGGCATTGAGATGAAGTTTAAAACACCAGCCCTCTGAAGACAGCCACCAGTTCTTAGACGCAGAGATTGACTTTTGTGTGATACAGTTCTTTAGCTGGGATAGTTAAACTTACAAGAAAATGGAATATGATTTCAAAAAGGTAACTTCATATGGTCAGTGAGTCTGCTTTGTGATGACGGATGGAATACTGAGAATCTAAGGACAAACCAGTTGTGGTGGTGAAAGCCCAGTCCCAGATGCAAGCTGAGGCAGGGGATAGTGACTCCATGGCTAACCTGGGTTCCACGGTGAGTCTGTCTCAAGAAATAAAAATGAGCCGAGCACTGGTGGCACAAGTCTTTAATCCTAGCCCTCGGGAGGCAGAGGCAGGCGGATCGCTGTGAGTTCGAGGCCAGCCTGGTCTACAAGAGCTAGTTCCATGACAGGCCCCAAAAACTACAGAGAAACCCTGTCTTGAAAAACAACAACAACAACAACAAAAAACGAAATAGAAAAAGAAACAAAAATGAAAAAAGGACAGCACTATTTTATCACATTTATTCGTGTGTGTGTGTGTGTGTACATGCAAGCACACGAACACATGCAAATGTATACTACAGCTCAGTGTGGACATTAGTGCATAGCCTGAAGGACTCAGTTCATCCTTCTACCATGCAGGGTCTCAGGAATCAAACTCAGGTCATAGGTACGCTTTGGCAAGCACCTTTACGCACTGAACCATATTACTGGCCCTAGAAAATGCACCTTAGCCAGAAATCAACATTTAAAACACAAACACAAAAAATTTATTTTCAGAGCTAGAAGCAATACTTCCGATCTTCATTCACTGTCCAATATTAGATATGTTTTCCTAATTGTAACATTTTTATATACAAGTCTTTATTATTAATTAATGCATAAATATAGACAAATATACACTGACGTAGACAGGTTTTGATTTTTGACCTTTTTTTGTTTGTTTGTCTTAAATAATGTACCAATGACCGGGCTATGACAGCTGCTGAGAAGAAACAGCTCCCATGCATAAATCACAGGATTTCTCTAGCCCGTTTCCACAAGAAAGCTGTACCTACACAACAGCCTCCAACAACCACAGGGCATAGTTCTTAAAACAAAATTTGGGAGTGACATAAACCACTAACACACAAAGTTGACGATGCAGACCAATGTCTCCACGACACCAAGCAGTTCTACTGGCTTTATCACCATCCCCTCCCTTTGCACTCACTGTGAATCTCTTCGGTTGCTGGTTTTGTCTTTTTCCTCTCACTCCCAAAGATAAAGTTTTTGGAGGTCTTAGGAGGAACCCTGAGCCTGTAGGGAAACTGACAACACCCTGCCCTATCACTGCTAGTTGGTGCCATTCTCCTGCATCTGTCAGGAGAGAAAGAATTTTTAAACGCCTCTTGAGTAGATTGTCTTTATGGAAAGATGTCCCAAATTTGGTAACTGAATGCAGCAAGCCCAGATAGATGATCAGACTTTTTGGGGAGGAGGGAATAGTTCCTCCATCTTCTCCATACAGCGTCAACACTTATACATGCGCAGAAACCAACTATGAAGGACTTCTGAACAACATGACACACTGCACTGACTCACAGATGATGGATGCTATAATATTCTAAATACTTCAAATTTTTACACTATTTGGTAGGGAAGAAATATACTGACAATTCTAAACTTTATTAGGTACACGTATTAAGTCTGGAAATAGTCATCAAGGACATGAATGACGGAATATAATATCCAAACATGTTCGAAAGGAATCCAGAAGTTTAAAGAAAATTTCAATTATCCCATGAAGGTTAAAAAAAAAAAAAAGCATATCAAAAACAGAAAATGCGGGGCTGGGGCATCGGTTCAGTGGTTCGGAGCACTTGTTATCTGTGCAGAGGACCCAATGCAGCTCCTAAACCTGTAACTGCAGCTCCAGCTGGGTTTCCTTTTCTCGTTTGAGGGTGCCATGCATGCTTGTGATGCACATACATGTGTGCAGGCAAAAAGAGTCACACACAGAAAATAAAAGTAACTCTAAAAAAGAAAAGGAAAGAAAAAATATCCAGCAGAAAGTGGTGGCACACGTCTTTAATCCCAGCACCCGAGAAACAGAAAGGCTGTCAAATCTCTGTGAGTTTCAGGCCAGACAGGGATACATAATGAGATGCTGTGTGTGTGTGTGGGGGGGAGCAAATGATGATCAAGTAAGTCTGAATGTTATTGATCACAACAAAGCTACACTAATCTCATCCATCAAAAGGCCTAACATCAACAGTAGCTACATTTATTGGGTATTTACTGTTGTGCTTTATACATTAACTCCATTAACCATCATACCACATCCAACAGAGCCTATTCTCTCCTGCCTCCTATAAATTAGTAAAGTGATGTTAACAAAGTCACTGTCAAGGTTTGAATAAGAATGGCCCCTACAGGCTCATGTATTTGAATGCTTCGTCACCAGGGAATAGCCCTATCTGGAAGGATTAGGAATGAGGTGTGGTCTGGCTGGAGGAAGCACGTCACTGGGGGTGTGCTCTGCGGTTCCAAAGCCCAAGCCTACAGATGAGGATGCAGCCCTCAGCTACTGCTGCAGTGTCTGCTGACATGCCAACATGCTTCCTGCTACGATGTAAATGGTTTAAAACTCTCAAACTGTAGGCAAGCCCCCAGTTAAAGGCTTTCTTTTGTAAAAGTTGCTTTGGTTATGGTGTCTCTTCACAATAATAGAACACCAACGAAGGTAGTTACCAGAGCTGGTCCTGAAACTACAGAAGTCTCCTTATAGAGACCATAACATAGGCTTAGGAGAAACTCAATTTGTTAAGCAGCACATGAAACATTTCCATCTTAACTGCGATATTACCCATTTTGCTACAGTGTTATTGCTTTTTCCTATCTCCCTCCTTCACCTCTAATCCATTATCCCAGTCTCTATGGCAATGGTTCTCAACCTGTGGGTTGTGACCCCTGGGGGGAGGGGCAAATGACTCACAGGGATTGCCTAAGACCATCATAAAACACAGATATTTACATTATGTTTCATTGAAATAACAAAATTAGTTACGAAGTAGCAATAAAATAATTTGATAATTGGGGGTCATCACAACATGGGGAACTGTGTAAAGGGTCTCAGCATTAGGAAGGTTGAGAACCACACTGCCCTATAGCCTTTCTAAATGAACACATACTATATGATGGTCACCTCTCTGAACTCGGCATTTCTTTCAGGAAAAAATGGGCACCTCTCCCAAAGAACAGCCATGAAACTATTCCAAATGACCCGCTGTTGTGACAGAGTAAAGTCTCCATACCACACACCTGTTCAGCCACCTTCTTTCCTCTGTTAGAGGACAGAAGCTAAGATATGGGGGCACGGCCTTCCTTAGCATATTTCCAGTTTAAAGTTTGGTTTACATTTCCTGGTAAAAGGTTTGCATAAAGTGATTTTCAATCATTACAATACTTTCAGGGTGTAGGTCCTATAGGACCCAGCCATGACAAGCTCAATAGAAGTCTGAGTCTCAGTAGTTTACCCTGTGGCAATACCTGGTTCCGAAAAAGACCACAAAGTCTAACCAGGCAATTCCCTGGAACAGACCATCCAAAGGAAATTCCTAACGTTCCAACACCTGTTGGAACACACTCATTGCTTTTCACCAAGACACCCCTAGACAAATGTCAGCCAATTAGGGGTCTTAAACCTTAGTAATCCTCAACCTCACCTATGCTACTATAAAAACTCAACTCTTTAACTGAGCTTGGGGCTCTCCGATCCCTCCAATATGTTGGACACACGGAGAGACCGAGTTTGCAAACTTGTGTAAGAATAAAAGCTCTTTGTATCCTGGTTGGCTTGGGGGGGGGCGGGGAGACACTCCATGATCTGGGCATAACAGATACAGTTCCATTTTTGTTAGCAGTAAACTCAATGGCCAACAAGTAGCTGGGTCCAAATCTCCAGTTCTAAATATCTGACCCGCCTTGAAAGTACATACACCTTCAGTGAACTGTTCCTCACAACATCCAGGCTTGGCTATTGAGGTTCAGTTTTCTCTTAGTTCCGTTAGCCATCACTGGAGCTTTAGACCTTACTGTTTTTATGCCTTCTCAAGTACCTGGTAAATTCAGAAAAACTTCCGGCTGAGCAGCTCACCCTCGGACAGGGACCGAGAAAAAAGAGGCCCCTTTCTCTCTAAGATGTGTATGTCCGGCAACCTCACTGAGGAGACTCTGAGCGGGCGGAAGCCTAGACCAACAGGAAATCAGGAAATAACAAGGTGGGAGTAAGACGGAAATGCAAGCAAGAAAATGAGTGCGACTCACACGCTCTCATTAAGGAAAAGAGACACTCACCCGTGGATTACAACACTCCGTACCGCCAGGACCCTTAAACTCCTAGCAGGAGATAACACGTGTTCCGCTCGCACAGCTCGCGGTCCACTGAACCACCGCCTCTGCTTGCAGAACCAATCAGGATGTTCTGTGTCATCACCAAGCGCCAGACATAGGCAAAGGCCCTGCTAAAGCAAACCCAGCGAGACCCACCGATGCCATGGTAACTGGGGCAATGAGAGCTGCGCGCGCAATGCCTCCTGGGAGAAGTAGTTCCAGAATGTCCGACCCCTGTCTAACTGGTAGGTGGTGGAACTACAACTCCCAGCACCACCCAAATGCAGCCTGTGACGAGAAGCAATTGTCATTGTTGTGGCCTAAGTCTAGGCCTGAACTTGAAAATATACTGCTGGCGTCCCAAGAAAGGTCTTCAAAGAAGAAAATGGAGCTGAGTCGCTGGAAACGACTTTCAAGGAAGCTAAATGCCAAGGTGATCCCAATCGGAAGCTTTGAGAAACACGGGCCGGCCATAGGCGTCACACTGTCCTGAAAGCCAGCCGCTTCCCTCCCAGCGGTTCCTCACTCTTCCCCTGGGGGCATCCTTACCTGGCCTTGGCTGACCGGGAGCCTGCACAGCTCTGAGTGTGGTTTTAGGAGCCTTAGGGTCTGTGTACTCACCACTCTGGTGGGCAAAAACCTGTAAGGATTGTTCCCATCTAAGCGGAGAGGTCTACTAGTACCCATTAGGGTGAGGGAAATTTGCCCCTCATCCTTACCTCCATGAGCAGTTTTAGGAAACTTTCTGCACATTTCTTCCCCTCCCTTTCAAATCTTAGGTAAGGGAATTTTGAAAGGAAGAAAACAAGTCACATTAAGTTCACTGCTGTTATCCCTTATACCCCCCCCCCTTCCAGTTTTACATCAGACATCTAAAATGAACCCAGAATTCCAAGTGGTTTTTATCTCAGTTCTTTATCCATATGGTTATTTCTAAATTCCACCAGCGTTCAGCGATAGATCCTTCCTTTATCTGTTACCTCTTCTGTACACTAGCTCCTAAAGACACACACACTCAAAACCTGACAAAAGCCGTTTTAAACTTGGAACCGACGAAAGTGACGTGCAAAGTCACAGCCATACCAAGTGCGCTTTCCAGAATACCTTTTTAACAGTCACAAAAATAAGTGCTTTAGGTGTAAATGAGAGCATTGAGACGGAGGGGCGTCAGCTTCCAGCTGCAGAGCAGCTTCACCAGCTGTTTTTACCCCTCAGCTACAGTTTCCTGTAAAAAGAAAGACAACCCTCGAGATGTGTGGCTTTTGTGGGGGCCCGGGGCAGCCATTCTTGTGGGTTCTTCTAAATATAGAAACAATGTACACAGGGCACCTTCCATTTAGTGAAAATCATGTTCCTGATGCTAGGGGGCAGAGGCCAGAGCATTCGAGAGTGGGAACTGAGGCCGCTTCACCTGCAAAGTAGCAGTTGCGTAATAGTGGCCCAAAATAGCTTCTGAATATAGATTTGATGATGAAAGGTAAATTGGGGACAACTTAGAACTACAAAAAGAGGGATTTTTTTCTTCTTTTTTTTTTTTTTTGCTGATAGTGCTCATTATTACTGTCTAGAGGATAAAGGAAGTAAAAACACAAGAGCGCCTTGAAATTCAGCTGTGTTTGAATAGGATCGGTTCGCTCATTGTTGAGTGGCAGTTACGCAGCAGTTATTGTGTGTAAGGTGAGCTGAAGACAGAGTGTTAGGGAAATGAAGGCGACCATCATGCCTTTCCCGCCAACTTCCACGTGCCGGTTGCTTTGCTCTCCCATCATTTTTATTTTCAAATACCTGATTTCTTTTCAAAGCAAATAACTCTGTTTGCTCAGTGATTATTAGAGAGAGAGAGTTCTGTAAGCTTCTGGGAGTTACAGAGGATACAGAGGAGGATCCATGAGGCCTGATTTCTTGTTTCAAATTAATATCTCATCTGGGTAGAGATCATTTTTTTTCTTCATGATATGCTTGGTGCAAGTGTACAAGTTGAGTGATATAATCCTGTTTTACACCCCCACTCCTTTTAGACCCAATGTCATCTCAGTTGTAGGAAGGACAGGAAGGCATCTGGGTACTTGTGCAAAGAGGAAAGAAATGGCCACAGTCTTTAAGCAGAAAATTACTCAGGTAAATTGACCAGCCTTAGTATGGGTTTCACGAGGAGTGTTACATGCAGCATTTCTGCATCTTGACTCTTAGCATCGGAGAACTCAAAAATACAATGCTGGTGCCTAAACTGTTGATCAGTTACGGTTCAAGGTGGGTTACACAAGAGTAGCACAGATGTCCTGGACGAGGCTTCCTGTTTCTTCTGCCATGGTTCAGTGTGCTCTCATTGCTAGTTGGTGCTGAACTTGCCAACAGGAAGTTTGGAGGGAGGGATGAAGGATATGTTTCCTCGTGTGTTAGTGGGAAGGATGTTGACAAAGCGGTTGCTGAGCGTTAATACTTTGTTTCTATTCTCTACAGTCTGCATTTGACAATGACAGTGTGGAACACTGGGTTAAGGTAAGGCTTTTCACAATCAGAACAGAAAGAGAAGTGAGAGTCGGACATAAGGACAGATCTCCAGTGTGCATGTGCATGCCTGTTGTTATTCCCACATGATTGTGTATGTTACCCCAATTCTATATTTTTAACATCTTTTATTATTCCGTTGGTTTTCATGAGAGAGCTTAAGTATAAATGACGAGAAAACACATAGACTTGCCTTTCATCTGGCACACCCATCTCATAAAGAGGCCAAAGGAGTAAGAAAAGAGAGGCCTTGGGAGAGAATGCTGTAGCCTTCTTCAGACACGAGGAAGACTATTCTGTAGTTACTTTAATATGGGGACCCATTGGCAAGAGCAACATGGCTATCACCAGAATTCTCAAAGTCTAGAACAATCCAAAAGTGGAGTGAGAGTTTTCATAAAGAGACATGTTCTCCATTGCTAGAGTATTGGAGTACAGTGCTATGTAGTTTGTATTTTAGTAAAATACATCTTGCCTGAAGACCATAGGCAAAGCTAAAGCCACTAGAGGCCAGGCGATGGTGGTGCACACCTTTAATCCCAGCACTCAGGAGGCAGAGGCAGGTGGATCTCTGTGATTTTGAGGCCAGTCTGGTCTACAGAGCAAGTTCTAAGACAGACTCCAAATCTACACAGAAAAACCCTGTCTTGCAAAAACAAAAACAAAAAAACCAGAGGGAATATAAAATGAGAGGAAAGAGAGGTTTAGTCTGCTTAGTCTGCAGTTGCCCCGCCTCGCTAGAGGTAAGATTTCTCTGGTGGCTTGGCTGCTTTGCTTTTCTGGTTTTCGGGTTGAACCCCAATATCTCACTCTGGCTTGTTATTATTCGTGCTACATTGGAGTACACTCTAAAATTTCACTTAATGTTCAGCTAATAAAGAATATGTTTGGGCATCCATTGAGAGGGAGTTGGTTTAGATAATTCCCATAGAAGCTGTTATTATATATGACTTCCTGACCAATGACATCCTCCAGTCATGAGATGTTTGTTTTTAATTTAGGTGCTATTTGAATTGACAGTGCCTTTAAAACACTTCAGGGGTGCACCCCTGAGTGCCAGCCTAGCAGTTCGCTGTAATCAGTTTATTTGTGTAGCACATGGTTCAAAATCATGTAATATTTTCCAGAGAATATTCTGTCTTAGTTGACAGGCATTGTGGGCATCAGGCAAGATAGATCCCAGGCCACCTGTACTTTGCTTTTAGCTATTTATTCATTTTGTTACTATTTGTTGAGTGCCTACCAAATACAAGCTCAGTGTGTTGTGTACCAGTGCTAAAATGAGACACAGACCAAAGTCTATATAGCCCAGCGGTGCCTGAAAAACCTACTTAGAGCTGGTAAGAGACCTAAAGATACAAGGGAAGCATATGGTGGGAAGCATCAATGTCGATGGGGCTAGGGGACTTCCTGACCACTGCAGAAGCCAAAGTAGATTGCATCATGAGTGTCAGCCTCTGGAAGACCACTTAACCTCTAGTAGACCTAGCTTGCTTCTCAGTATCCAGAGTCCTAGTACTGAGTTCCTGCAGGGCTCAATCACACGCCTACTTACCACCTCTTTCAGAGGGGGAGATTTAATGAGAACTCAAAGATAAAATTCCATTTTGTCTTGTTTCTATGATTTTTCTCCTTCATATAGCTGTCAGCAATCTGGACTCGGATTTCTATCATTTCCCTAAATGGTCTGCACTGGCTTCTCCTCCATCCTGCCTTCAAATCTCCCATCTTGAAAAATCAATAAGTTCTTATTTGACCCTGCAGTCTTTTCTGATTGTAGAATGATTTTATTTTCTTATCCAGATATATAGTGTGAGCTCTAGGCTTTTATATTTTCGTTATTCTCTCCTGTCATAATTATTATTGCTTAGTCTCGCTTCTTATTCAGTCAGCAGTAACACACACACACACACTCAATTTATTTCACTTTCCATTCCACAAACTGCTACCAGAAATGACTTCCTGACCAAATCCAGTCACCGTGGGCAGCCGTCAAATGTCTCTAGTCTAATTTGATAGCTGTGGTATCTGTTTTAGACACCCTCTAGTCCACTCTCTTTGTTCATTGGACTGTTTTCTCTGGATTTTCCTTTTACCTCTCTGTTTTACCTTTCTGATTTTACTCCATAATATATCACAACTCTGGATATACCCTGGATAGTTGCAGTCTTTCCTCCTAAACCCCCCAAATCCACTTGAGTGGCCTACCCTTTCCAACACAGCCGAGAATTCGTTCAGGGGAGACATGGTGAAGATAGAGAAAGGCCTCTCTTTAGAACAGCAAAGGAAGGTTTCCCAGTTGTCTCATGGATTTAGCTGAAGTAAGTAACCATAATTTTTTTTTTATGATACAAAGAAAATTGGTAGATTAAATGGATCCAAGCTTGGGAATCACCACTGCGAAAGTGAAGGGAACAGGGATTTGGGAATAAGACAGTAGCTTAATGTCCACATGAGTAGGAAGGAAAAGACGGTACTCCTTGAAGCCCCTGTGTATGGAGGAGAGAATGAAAGACTTGATTGGGACCAATTTCAGCATTGAGGAATGAAACATGGAAACAGGATGACGATGTTGGCAGGGTGGTTAACAGCGTTTGTTTGGTTCAGTAATGAAACATCCTGTCAGCATGGTTCAGGTTAAGTGGACTGCCAAAGCAGAATTATGGGAAGTGCTGTGGTCCAGCAGACCTTGAGCCTGAGGTGTTGATGAGCATCCACAGAGATGGAGACATCACGGGGAATCGGGCAGGTGCTTGGCTAGCACTAAATATGGTGGTACTCTGTGATTTATAATTCATCTTTAGCCTGTCTGGCTCATCTTACTCCAGTACATCCTCCTGCTTGACTGACCTTCCTAAACACGTATTCTGTGTGCTATCGGATACTGTCCCCTCCAGGTGGGCATCTGAGGTCCTCTGTCAATCAGACTGTGTCAGTTTATCTGAAACAGCCCATGTACTGGCACTCTGCATCCCTCCTCTCCCCCAGGTCTTTCTCCTTCCCCTCCATCAAGCAGGTCCTCCCTTTGCTTTGCTACTTGATGATGCCTCAGCCTGGAATGTCTGCTACCTCTGAGACATGATCTAGATCCTCTCCGTACAACTCAGCTTCAGTTGCCCCACACCCTAACCCCGTCCTAGAATAGTTTCCTTTAGAATTATGTTATGTACACATTTATTAATAAAACATAAAATACTTGATTTTAAAAAGAGTGACTTTTAAAAGAACTGGCACTTTCAAAACTATATAAAACATAGGCAGATGAGGATACATTAAGCTCCTGTTTGTATCATCTGGTCTTAAGAAAATGAAATAGTATTTTGTAAAGGAACTTTTATGGAACATAGCTTTTAACTAATAACCTTCTTTTTAGGGCTAGAAAGATGGCTCAGTCGTTTAAGCGTTTGTCTTATAAGCATGGGACCCTGAGTTAGGTTGCCAGAATCCATGTAAAAGACCAGACATGGTGGTGGTTTAATTCCAGCTAGGGAAGCAGAGACAGTGGATCCCAGGGGCCCCCATCCAGCAGAGCCTAATTGGTGGCTCCAATCCAGTGACTGAAGAACAGTACCCAAGGTTGTCCTCTGTCCTGCACATAGGTGCACACACACCTACACTCACACACACAACACACACAGCCTATTATCAGATCACCCTGTCTTATTTGAACTTTCTAATAACAAACCGTTTGTGTCTGTCTCCCTTAGCATTCACTTGGTCGCTGGGGACAGAACTAGTCTCCCACCGGGACATACTGAAAGGGCAGGAGTAAGTGGACACAAACGAATGAAATGCGCTCCAGACCCCTCTTAGCTCTTATGCATTCATTCTGGGGTGAAAAGATAATATTTAAGACAAAGTACTTAAAACACTTAGTGTTGTCTAGTGAGTAATTTAAATGCTTCTTTAAAGCATTTCTTTTTACTGAGTTGCCATTTCCAGACCCTTTTCGAAGTATCAAGACTAGTTTTTCTCCTATTTCCCGATCTCACTACTGTCTTCTAATAAGAACCCGGAGAGATGGCTCATGGGGTGAAGAAGGCACTTGCCACCAAGCCCTAACCACCTGAGTTTGATTCCTGGGACCCCATTGTGAAAGGAGAGAACTGACTTGTGCAAGTGATCCTTTGCCATCAATCCACACATAAATAGAAATGAAATGTATGTAATAAAGTTTTCTCCAAAAGCATGTTATTTGATTATCTCTTGGATTCATAGTCTAGAGAATTAAATCAAGCCTACAAATCTCTTTTTTCTTTTTCTTTTATAGGTGTTCGTTTAAAAATTAAAGTTAATAACTTTATCTGTGTTTCTTTTGCATGAGTGCATATGCAAGCATAAACAGTATATATAAAGTCATATTTCTGCCAAGCATTGGTGACACACACCTTTAATACCAGCACTCTGGAGGCAGAGGCAGGGGGATCTTTGTGAGTTCAAGGCCAGCTTGGTCTACAGAGCAAGTTCCAGGACTGGCTCCATAGCTCCTGGGAAACCCTGTCTGAAAAAAAAAGTTATTTTTCTTAGAAGTTAAGGGTAGGCCTATGTCAATGTAATCATAATCAATGCCATAACATAAATCCAGATAACCCATGGCCTCTGAGAATTAACATGGGGGAGCAGTCTCTATAGTAAGGCCTGGTGTCTCCCAACTCAGCTCTGATGAGATCATGTTATTCTGTCTTATAGCACTCCTGTGCCCACTTCCTGTGCCCAGATTTTATCTTTGACTTTTAAACTTTACTTCTCTGCTGACATCCAAAACCTGGCACAGGCAACACGAGAATGAGATGGCTCATCCTCTAGCAAGTTTTTGCAAAGTTGTCACCAAGCTTTCTACCAAGGGCACGAGGCAAAGTCATTTCAAAATAGGTCAGGAGCACTACAAACACAGTAGCGCAGCATCTTTGAGTAAATCTCTAAGCCACCTCTTCCTTTACTAAGTATTTCCTGGACATTGACCGAGTCCCGGCAAGACTCTAGTTGCTAGGGCTTCCGTGTGAAGAGGAACAATCCTGATGATGCTCTGTTTGGAGGCTGCACGAGAGAGAGAGAGAGAGAGAGAGAGAGAGAGAGAGAGAGAGAGAGAGAGAGAGGACTGCAGTGTGGTTGACACAAAGGTAGCTGATGAGATGCAGAGCCCACAAAGGGGTAGGGGCTCAGGACGTTGAAGCACACTGTAAGGACTTGTCCTAGTGCTAATGGAAATATCGAAGCGTTTGGGATATGGCTTTCATGAGAAAGCAACCAGTTGCTGCTGTAAAGGCTGTTGCAGAAAAGCCATTAGGAAACTGTCACTCCTCGATGGAGCTGAGAGCTGTGGAGGTGCTGTGAAGGGGCAGTTTGTAAATGTGAAAACGTTTCAAACATGTATGAGGAGGGAGGGAAGGAAGGAGAGAGGAAGAGCAAGGAAGAGAGAGAAATGGGCAGAGAGACTGACTTCAGGTTAAGGAAGACTCCCAAGTTCTCACCTGAAGAACTACCTGATCATGATTGTCATTTACCAGCGCCAGTCTGAAGAGTGTGCGCTCAGGAAGAACTCGGGAATGCATCTCTGTGCGGACACAGATGCAGGCTTTGCCTCTGAAGTAAAATGTTCCCTGCTCTGTCCAAAGCACGATGCTTTGCTCAGCTCCTCATTCCCTTACCTGATCCCATGAATCGGGTCATGCATTTATCAAACCCTTGTTGAGTTAGAACAGTCTGGATGACTACAGTGGTGCAGGTCTATCTCAGTTTTATTGAACCTGTGGCTTGCCTAATACACGGTGACGACCCCTTTTAGCCATAGTAATCTGAGGCTTCAGCCTCTGGTTCCTGTTTACAAGTCCCAGTGGCACAGAAATTGATATCAGATGTTTGCTCGGAATTAAGTATTCAGGATTCAGGATCCCATTGCCTATGCCTTAAACAAAAGTTACCCAAAGGGGGCCAGAGAGGTAATAGGAATGTGACCAAATTATGTTACGTATGTATAAATGTGTCATAATGGAACCACTATTTTGGACAATTAATACATGCTAATAAAAATAAAATCTTATTATTGTGCGTGTGTGTGTAGGCAGATGTACGTTTGTGTGTGTGTGTGTGTGTGTGTGTGTGTGTGTGTAGGCAGATGTACATGTGTGTGTGTAGGTATACACATACAGTGGTACATGTGTGAAGGTCGGTTCTCTCCTGCCACCTTGTGGGGCCTGGGGATGAAGCTCAGGTTGTTGCCTGCATGCTGGCACCTCTCATCAGCCTTGTTTTCCACTTACCTAAGCCTAAACGACATTCTTGTAAACACCAGGAATGCTGGCTAGAACTTGATGAACTGCTGCATTTAAGTCAACATTACAGACAAAACTAAAATACTGCCTAGTGTTCCAACAAAAATGGGAAAATTAAAGAATCATACTAGCTCCTAGAAAAGCAGCTTCTCAAATTCTTTAGCCCTAAACAAGGTTACTATCATTTAATGGATTTATTTCTTTCCCTTTTTTCCTGTTATTTTTAAGAGAGTGGAGAAAGCATCGGAATTTGCCCTTTCAAATGAATATTTTACCAGAAATGCAGATTTACCTGGAATGCTTTGGCGACACGCAGTAGATCTGGGGACATGTGAGCAAGCAGAGTATCATGATGACGTCTATGAAGAAGGTGAGGGGATGCATTTGCTGGTGTGATGTAGCTCGGCACTCACTGAAAAACATGGAGTGAAGGCTGCTCTCACCCGCATTCTTAGCTCCTAACCTTTGTTTCTCTACTGCCCTGAAGCTGATTCTGAAGTTAGCTCCATTACTATATGTAAGACTCTGTGTGTGTGTGTGTGTGTGTGTCTGTCTGTCTGTCTGTCTGTCTGTCTGCCCACATACTGGTGTCTGCATGTTTATGAAGATGCCAGAGGAAGCCAGAGGCATCAGGTTCCCTGGAGCTGGAGACCCAGGTGGTTGTGAGCTGCCTGGTATGGGTGCTAGGAAGTGAGCTTGGATCCCTTGCAAGAGCAATCTATCCTTCTCTTAGCCATCTCCCCAGCCCCACAAGGCTGTATTTAAAGCCCACTTTGTTTTCTAAATCTGTAGCAGCCACTGGCAGAGGTAGTTTGATATACTGGTTAACTTGTGAGTGGTGTAAGGTGTTGGTCCTATGGCACAGATGGTAGCATGTTAATTTAATCTGGTTTTCTACTAGTGAATAGACATCAAAGTTTATAAACCAATTTAATTCCCTGTAAAGAAGCTCTAAAAACATTTTAACTTTCTTATCTCCTCAAAGTTCCCTTCATTTGGGGAAGGGAACTTCAGCATTTTGATTACTGAGTTACTGAAGAACTAAGTCCCACCTAGGAATTCAAGGGACTGGGTGGAATCTGCAAAGGAGACTGGAAGGAGAGCCTCCAGGGAAGGGGGAAGTCAAAGTTCTGTGCCCTGCAAGCCAGCTTCTGTTTGGATTATGTACATCCCCAATTATTTCATTTATCTCTTCATTTATTCATATTGAAGTCTTGCTCCACTACATTAGGCACTAGAAGATTTGATTATGAACAAGGAAAGCTGTGCTTTCGTGGAGTACGCACTCTAGTGTAGGAATGAAGAAAATTAAAAGCAAATTATCAGGTAGTAGTCTATTCAAAGCATCCCAGATAGAGGGCAAGGGAGTGTGAAGAGCTTAAAGTACAGACAAGCTTGGAGTACATGAGGAGCTGAAGGGAAGCCCTTGAGGCTGGTGCTTCCAGTAGACATGAGCATAAAGGAATGAGCGGGAGATACATCACATAGGTCATGATAGGTCTGGGAAAGAACTTAGATTTTATTCTGATTTTAATAGGACGGGACAGAAGTATAAGGGGCCTGTGATTTATAGGGAAGCTGTTGGAGGGGCTTGGGTGAAAAGGTGATGTAGAATGTCTTCCTGTATGCTGTGAATATGTGCTGCTCTCATTGCTTGATAAATAAAGCTGGTTTGGCCTATAGCAAGGCAGGATAGGGGCAGGTAGAAACCCAAGCAGAGATAGAGAAGAAGGACAGAGTCTGGGAGATGCTGCCAGCCAGCTGCCGAGGAAGCTTTTCTGCTCACCCTCCCCAACAGTGTAAGGAACTGTATAGTATAACGTCCAAAGGAAGTGCTCATTACAGTAAGTGGTGTTAGTAGACACAATTGTTTTACATTCTAATTATGCAATAAAGTGCAACTTGTTGTACATGGGTTAATACTTGTCAGCTCCCTTTCTATGCCTTCTTGTATCATATTTGTTATACTTCATTTCTACTGCTGTCCTCCCCAGGCACCTTCCAGGACCCTTAGTGGATGCCTGAGATTGTAGATAATGCCAACTCCTAGAGTTGTTTCATATACTTACATAGTCATGGTAAAATTTACTTCATAAATTAATCACAATAAGAGATTGATAACAAAATAATAAAACCAAACAATTATAATAAGCAGTAGAATTGTGTGCATATCATCTCTCTTCAAGTATCTTCTTATACTGTACTCCCACTGTTCTTGTGATGATGTGCTGACATGGTACCTGAGCGGTGTGATGCGGTGAGGTGAATGACCAAAGCATGAGGCTGTTATTTGAGGGTTCCTTGGACACTGTCACTACATTATCACGACAACTAATCTGTTTTAACTGATGACAGAGAGTGTGACTGGTGTGGATGCCGGACAAAGGAACGACTCACATCCCAGTGAATGGCATAGACAGAACTTACTTTACTGCGCTAGTAAACTAAGAGCAACTCAGAACTTAGGAATTATTTCTGGATTTTCCGTGTGATGGTTGTGGACTTTAGTTGACTTAGGTAACTAAAACTGGAAAATGGAACTACAGATAAAGGGCCACTATTATCATTTGTTTTCTTCTATTTTATCTATACTAAACATTTTTACATCTGTTATTATATAGAAATGCCTAATTTCATCAGAACTCTGAGATAATAGTAACAGTGGTGGAGGTAACACTAAAGGAGACGTTTTCCTCCTTTGAAATGCCCATGCCCTAGACTGGGGAAGAGCTTTTTGATAATGATAAAAATGATAAAGATAATGTAAAATAGTGTGAACATTTTCTCCTGCATCTACATGTAATTTTCTTTCTTTCATTTATTTTTGTTTGTTTTTTTGTTCTTGCATGAGTTTTTGAGTACCACATGGCATGTGACAACCAGCAGAGGCCAGGTCTGTCTCCTGGAACTGGAGTTACAGATGGTTGTGAGCTGGCATGTAGTCCTGAGAACTGACCCAGATCCTCTGTGACAGCAGCAAGTTCTCGTGACCTCTGAGCCATCTCTGCAGCCCCCTGCGAACAGAAATGGGAGCTGGCTTTCAACACACGACACTCTGACTTTCCTTTGAGCTCGGGGGTCTCTCCTCGCTCTTCAGCTTCCCTGGTTCTACCTTCCCTCATCAACTTCTAAAACATTGATTTCCTGGGTTTTTAGCGTGTTTAGCTCTTCTCTATCTGCTTTCTTCATCTGGTAATATCATCCTGTCCTAAGACTTCAGACACCATCTGTATGCTTATAACTCTCATTCAGTTCTTCAGCTTGGACCCATTCCATGAAATCTCAAGTATTACCACCAGTATCAACTTGACCTTCCAATTTGGTTATCTCGTGAACATCTCACACCTGATATCACAAAGTCTTCCCCCAAACCTGCTGCTTCTTTGTCCTTCACGCCTCTCAGTAAATGCATCTCTATTCTTCCAGTTAAGCTAAGCACTCTGAAGATTTCTCTTCCTTCATTCCCCGTTTATCAGCAAATCATATCAACTTCATCTCAACATTTTCTAGACTGTAGCCATGTTTAATTGCTCTACTGTGAGACCAAACCATTATCACCTCTTTATAGTCTATAGTACTCATTTCCTTAGTTAACATCTTCTTTGCTTACCCCATAACGTCTATTTTAACAGAGAAGTCAAAGTGATCCTCTTAAAATACATCGCTTTTTGCCCTGGAAAGATTCCCAGCACCCGAATGACAGCTGACAACCGCCTGTAGCTCCAGCTCTAGGGCGTCTGACTCTAGGGTACTCTTCTCACCTCTGAAGGCATCAGGCACTTACACAGCGCACAGACACACATGCTGGCAAAACCCTCATACTTAAAAATAAAGAAAATTTAAAAATAAATAAATTTCAAAACAAAACAAAAATCAGGCTTGGTAGCACACATCTTTAATCCTAGTACTACAGAGGCAGAGGCAGATGGGTCTCTGTGAGTTCAAGGTCTAAATAGTGAATTTCAGGTCAGCCAGAGCTACACAGTGAGGTCCTGTCTCAAAAGGGGAGAGGGGTGCTTTTTACTCACAACCCTCCTGCAGCTTCTCATGCTTTAGAGTAGCAGACAAAGTACCTCTAAATAGAAGGGTTTCGGCTTCAGGACTTCTGACATTTGGGGACAGATTATTTTTGCTGTGTGGAAGCTATCTTGTGAGCAGAGTGTTTAACAGCTTCCTAGTCTCAGCACACTGGATACTGTTGTCACTTGCCCTCTTTGTGACAACCAGAAATGACTGTATTTCAGATGAGGGTTAAGATCACCCTCACTGATCAGCACTGCGCGCAGCACAGTGGTCACCTCCTCCATCTCATCTGTCCAGCCCTCCTTTGTGCAGCCACACTGCCCTGCTAGTGACTTTTCCAGCCCTCTAGACACTCATGAAGTAGGACCTTTGACCGTGCTCTCCCCTGCATGGTGCAATATTTCCTTATATATCAGCGTGGCTCACTCCCTCCTTTGCTCAGGTATCTTCTTTTTGGCCACCCAACTTAAAACTACAACAATCAGTCTCCATCTCTTGGTTCCTTGCGTTGTCTTTATCTTGTTTGTTTTGTCATTTCCCCTGATCAGACTGTTGGCTTCATGTTGGTGACATTTCCCCTGATCAGACTGTTGGCTTCATGTTGGTGACATTTCTTTTTCCTGTTTTGTTCCGTATTCTATTCATTATGCCTTGTCACATAATGGATGTTGAGGTGATAATGAGGGAATGGATGAATAAATGGAAACAGCAATAGAGGAACCTGTAAGTCACTGAAATACTAAAAGATGTTTTTGTTCTATTGATAGCTCAGGAGCTCGTCAGTGACTGGTTAGACAATAAACTTAAACAAGAGTTAGCAAGTGATGGAGAAGGGGAGAACACTGTGCCAAGCAGCCCTCCTGTGCCCAATGCCCATGGCCATCTGAAGTATGACAAGTTTGATGGTAAGAACTTATCTGGTTCTTCTAAGCTTTAACATCTAATGAATGTTCCTAAAAAATGTAATTTATTGTTTTAAATAATAAATAATACATTGTTCTTGAGTTCTCAGTAGTCCTCATTGTCCGCTGTGTTCAGCGAGACCGGTTTTATCCCAGGCTTTTTCAGACCCAGGCCAGGTGGCCTTGGTGAGTTCCCGATAGAACATCCCCATTGTCTCAGTGAGAACTCAAGAACAATGGCAATGGGTTTTTGATCCTACTGCATGTACTGGCTTTGTGGGAGCCTAGGCAGTTTGGATGCTCACCTTACTAGACCTGGATGGAGGTGGGTGGTCCACAGGGCAGAGAACCCTGATTGCTCTTTGGGCTGACGAGGGAGGGGGACTTGATTGGGGGAGGGGGAGGGAAATGGGAGGCGGCAGTGGGGAAGAGATAGAAATCTTTAATAAATAAATAAATAATACATTTGGCTCATGTATGTTTTGTTTATCTTTGTGAGTTTAATTTTTCTTGATTGGGTATAAATCTTCTTTGCTATATCCCTAGTAAGTTCCTATTGCTTTTTAAAATTAAAATATTCTATTATTTATAATTTTGCCTATGAATTTATATAGCAATTAAAAATGTCTCTTGCCCATATATCATTAGATAACTATTTACTTTGTCAGAGAAGACACTTAAATATTCACATATCATTTTATAATTATAAAAATGCTACTTATGTTTTGATTCATTTTCACATATAAAAGAGGCTATTTCTCTTCTCGGGATTTTTCCTTTCTTTTCTTCTTTTGTACAAATTGTCAGACAAATGAAATAACAGACTCATAAGGGGGTCCTCTATTGTACCTTAAGGTTTAGGGTTTTTTTTTATTTTCTTTTTGTTTTCTTATGAGGATGGATTTGTGGAGGACAGCTATCCACACCTGATTCAGAGCCTTGCTGAAACAAGCTCGTGGCATTGCTCTTGTTAGGACTCTATAAAAATCCCAGCTAGGGAATCATAGTCATGAGCTCGGAAAGCTAGACGAATACTTTAATTTCACCTCGTCTAATAGTCAGTGTCTGTAGTCAGTAGGCAAACACACACTAACCCTACAGTGATTGCTACTTCACTAATGTTCAAATGGCTTAAAGCTAAGACTGGCCATGCCTGGCCTGGGTAAGGGTGTGGGGGAACTGGGACACTATCACAGGACTGGTGGGATGTAGAATTGCATTCCACTTTGGATGGCAGTTTGATAATTTCTTTAAAAGTTTAGTCTGTACACATCATAACCTGTACCCACAGTATAGCTATTCTATCTCAGCTAGTCGAAGAAAATGGATAAAAACCAGGCCTAAAGGCTACCACACGCTCGGGTAAGAGCTATACTTCTGAGCTATAGCCTGGGGTCAGTTGAGGGTTGATTTTAAGCAGGAGAGTTTTGAGGTTTTTTAGGTTTTCGATCTGACTATGAAGAGGTTCTTAGTGACTTGGCTGAAGGCATTTCCTGATGAAGGTACGTGCTGAGCGCCACACTCATCAACTGGCATTGCTACTTCCTACTTGTCAATACAACTTTGTATTTTTCAGAATTTTTATGTAAATACGAATATCATTTTTTAATTCCCTTTGGCTGTTCTTTACTCCTAGACTTATGTGGCTATTTGGAGGAAGAAGAGGAGAGCGCCACTGCTCAGCAATTTATAGAGCATCTGCTCCATAAAGAGGTGCTGGATTCTGAGATGGTGGAAGAGCTCGGAAGGGAGGAAAACCAAGGCAAGAGGCGGCAGAAGGACCCTCGTCTTACCATGGAGATGAGACATAAGCAGGTGGGAGGGAAAACAAAATTAAAATGGATAACAGGAAGCAGTCTTTGTGTAACACATTTAATAAGCTTAAATAAAGACTTGGGCTTTATTATGAAAAGGGTGCCATCTGTGGTTTGGTAAGGAAGAATAAAAATAAAATATAAGAACTTCAGAAGAAAAATAATTCTCATAAACTGAGAGTAGGAAACAATTTATTTAAGAAATAACCAAAATTAGAGTAATTGATTTTGACCAGTTGAGTGCTGAACTAAACTTTATTAGTGTGAACGTGGTACTCCGATTATAAATATGTAGATTGCATTTGCTCCAATTTGGTCTTTGAATGGTGACATTAATATATTATCATGAATATTCTGCTGGATATTATAAGGATAATTCTTTTCTAGACAACTAAAATTCACTCATTTTGTGATTATAATTTGAAAAGGAGGACAGATCTGAATTAAATCTAGTTCAGCTGTTTTGAATTGGAAAGGCATATGGGAACTTTCCTTCCTCCCAAAGGACTAGTAGGTAATAGAGGAAAAGGCAGTCTCCATGCCTTGCAAAGGAGTTTGGGGAACTCAGAATGACCCTGGCTTTACCATATGACCAGGACCAAGACTGAATTACCTATAGATGTGTGGGCTCTCTTTTTACATAACTAGATTTCTGATCACACATTTTGAAAACTCACCGTTTTAAACCACTAAAGTATGGGAATGTTGGAAAGATAGGGAGAAGGAGGGTCCTGGTCTGACAGAAGGGGGAGAGAAGGTTCAGTAAGACATGCCTATTGCCTGTGAGTCTCAGAAAACTAGAGGGTGAAAGGGGGTAAAGTGAAGAGGGGAGCCAGGAGCTGAAGGATTAGTGTGAAAAGGATGAGTGTGCTTGTTTAGAATTATCCACAAAGGTCTTGCTTCTGGCTTCCAGGTGTGACATACTGAAATAAAGACAGAAACGAGTGGAGCCCTGCAGTGTTCTCTAGGGCAGTGGATTACTGTTCTGCCCCGCAGAGGGTGGCTACCATAATGGATCATTGTTCTTTCCTAAAAGATTGCTAAAGTGCAGAGTCTAGGGGGAAGTAATCTTATATATACACAGGACAAACTTGAAAATGGGACATCATTTCTAAATAAGAATCCAAAGCTGGGGCTCTGACCCCTCCACTGCGCTCAGCTTTTCCATCACACAGGTCACGCCAGATGCTGAGAGTCCTCTTCATCTGACTGTTTGTATTGGTTTTCACCCAGGAAGCAGTTCTGGGTGAGAATGTTGCAAACTGATTATATTCTGAACTTCAAAATGTGTGTGTCCCATTTCCCTGTTCATTCTACTTGTGGTTTTTCTAAGGTAAAAGAAAGTCGCTTACGGCGCGAGAAGCAGCTGGAGTTGCGGAGAAGGGAGAAGGCCGTGAGGAAAGCAGCCTTCCTGGAGGCTCAGTGTCTAGTGCGGGAAGAGAAGAGAAGGAAGGCTGTGCTGGCCAAGAAAGAGAAGGAAGAGGTCCAGAGAGAGATGGTAAAGCTGCGCAGGGAGATACTGGAGAGAAGACGCACGGTGGAGGACGCGTGGAAAGCGTAAGCCAGTGTGATGAGCATTGCGGAGGATCAGAAGTACTCTCAAGTGTGAGAAATGTTCTGACATTGCAAACACTGCACACAGAAGAGGAGAACACCTCCTGCTCCACCATCGTAACAAATCCCTTTGTTTTCCATGTTTCCTCCTGGTTATGATCTCCTTACATATTTAATTACAGTCACCAAGTACATTTAATTTATTTTGCTGTACCATAACATATGCTGGCCCTGTCCTATACTGCTAAGCACTTTGGCTATCTAAAATGTTTTGCCAACAGAGCTTGAGAGATGGCTCAGTAGTTAAGAGCACTTAGTGTTTTTCTGGAAGACCTGAGTTCTCCTAGAAATCACAACCACCTGTTGACATTAGCACCAGGGAACCTGATGCCCTCTTCTGGCCTCCACAAGCCCTGCACTTACTCATAAATCCACACACAGACTCACACACAAACACTTTATTAAAAACAAAATAAATCATTTAAAAATTTACCAATATAATAATGTAATGAACATCATTATTCCTAGAGCATTGTCATTCCTTTGAATTACATATAGAATATTTAATACATAATCTATAATATATATGTATATATATATATTTTTTTTTTTTTCAAAGCATGGATTCTCTATGTAGCCTTGGCTGTCCTGGAACTTGCTGTATAGACCAGGCTGGCCTCGAACTCATGCTGATTCACCTGCCTCTGCCTCCCAAGTGCTGGGGTTAAAGGTCTGCACCACAACTGCCTGGACTGAATTATATTTTTTAGGATAAATTCTTATGACTGTAATTAGTGGGTTAAATGGTATAGATCTCTTGAAACATTGACAAATTATTTGGAAAGTTAGTTGTACTTGTTTTTGGTGTCACCAGCTGTGGGCCAGTTTAACACACTCTTCTCTATACTGGGAAGTTTTTTGTTTCTTTTTTTCATGCTTAATAGGTAACCCTGCAACTGGTTTGTTCTTCTCTGGTTGCATAAGATTTTAAAGGTGAAACATATTTCCTTATTCCTTTTGTGTGGTTAGTAATCAGCCCCTGTGCTGCTGTGACTTGCACTAGGGTCTTATTTTCTAATGATCATATAGCAAGTCCTTGGCTTCCTGATAAAGAAGAAGACTATCTGACATAAGAGGAAAATGACAGTAGCCCTCACAGGAGGTAGTATGTTATCCATCCTCATGCAGAAAATGGGCTTCACAGGTGAAGTAACTGACGTATTTATTCTGAGAAATAGCATTGATGCCCGAACTGCAGAACCCTTCCAGCAGCGTGACTCAAGTGTCTGACTCCTCAGACCGAGCCAGAAAGGCCTATTAGGTAATCTGTCCTGCTCCCCGCCCCATCAGCCCGCACAGCACCCCTGCCCCCCCCCCCCGTGTTCTTGATTGCTCTCATTCTGCCCAGTTTCAAACAGCTCAGCAGTGGACGTGTACTCCACCCCCTCAAGTGCCAGGCTCAGGCCTCCTCCAAATGCTGCTCTCTGCAGAAAGCAATCACGGGTGTTTTAGTGAGCTCTCACTGAGGTCAACCCTGCTCTTCAGATTGCTCCTGAGCCTTGGAAAACAAGCCCCATTTGATGGTAGTGGGATCCTCTGTCCCGTTCACAGTGGGCACTCAGCACTGTTCACTGGGCAGTCAGTTCCTGTCAGAGCTAAGTCCTGCCCGTGGTTGTAGTGACACAGACAGCGTACTAGGTGGATGGACTGACGTGAACTTTCCAGATATCAATTTGGCAATAAATAACAAGAGTCATCAAGTGGTATTTCTCTTTGACCTGGGACTTCCAGCTCTAGGGAAACTGCCTTAAGAACTGACCAGAAATGTGAAAATTTTTATACCGTAATAACTAAAACAGTATTATTTATAGTTATAAACAAATGCTTCAGAATTATTAGATAATGATTGTACAGTGAAGCTGGATTGACATGTTCTTGTTTATTTCTGGCTGGAAATATGAATGGCTCTTCTACCTCTCCAATTTGCACAATTAAGCAGATACTGTTTTCATGATAGATATATATCCTGATGTTATTTTAAAACTCGGACCCCTGTTCTGGAACTATTGTGTATTTATTTATTGACTTGTGGTATTTGCAGTCTCACCAAAGGCCTTGCCTTTGTAATCTGCTATTTCATCCCAAGTCCTAGAACTGCATTTCTCTAATGCCTTCCATGACAAACTAAATTTTTTTGATTCACCTTACTCGGGATATTCAGTATGCATTCATTCCAGTACAGTAGGCTATAATTACTCATTACTAACTGTAATAACTATTTTAAAAATTATTACTAATAGAGAAAAAAAGAGACAAGAAGATTCTCAGCGGGATCAAGAAGAAAAATTGGTGGAAAGTGCTCATGTTTATCTGGATGAAGAAGAAGTTGCAAAAGAAAGAAAAAGAAAGATGAGAGAGATCCTTATCCAGACTTTCAAAGAGAATCTCCAGGTGAGAATTACAGTGCCTCTCCTTCAGTGGCCTGGAGCATGAACAACAGGATGCTCCCTCAGAGATGGAGTGAAGTCTGCTGGTTATGGTGAGTCATACCTGTCATCCCATCTCTTGTGAGACAGAGGCAGAAGGATCGCTACAAGTTCTAGGCCAGCTTGGGCTACATAGTGAATTCAAGTATAGTTGGAGCTCCATGGTGAGACCATATCTCAAAAAAAGCTAGCTAGCTAGATAGATAGATACATAGACAGACAGACAGACAGACAGACAGACAGACAAAGTCCTTGAGATTTATCTTAAATACCTAAACTAGCCCCACCATTTGTTCCCTTCTGCCTGCTGACCTGGCCCACTGGTCAGTGCATCAGGTCCCTATTGTGAGATGTTCTGCTAAGCTGTAGAGGTGTTGGGTGACATCCCAGGAAACTGAGAGCTGTGCTTAGGATTCCTTCTGGATAACATCTTTGAAATGGCTTTTTTTTCCCCTTTCTTGATTTTGAGACTGGGTTTCTCTGTGTAACAGCCTGGCTGTCCTGGAACTCACTTTGTAGACCAGGCTGGCCTCGAGCTCCCAGAGACCCAAGTGCTGGGATTAAAGACATACTGGAATAACTTTTAACTACTGCCCTTTGGCTCTTTCTGAGCAGTGGGTTTCTGCTTTGACAGTCTTAAGGACACTTATGTCTGCATTATGCAAATGTCACAAGAACAACTCTGTCACGTGCCCTTTAGTATCTGAAATCCAAACATGATGATAACTTGTGTCCCTTCTCTCACTAATGACAGATCTTTTCATTTTTCCTTTGTTTTACTTTCTTTAGAAGTATTTTTATTGAAATAAAAACTAATGATTTTTCAAAGCTTTTAAATTTTTATTTTTATTTCCAAAGAGCTAGTATAGTAAGTAGATGGTTGAATAATTTATTCAAGGAAGGTTACTTAGCTCAACTTCATGAGACCTGTGTCTTTGTACCTAAAACTAACTTTATATTGACAAATACGTATGTTCTATATCAGTTACTCTAGAATCATGTGACCAAAATACCTTCACATGAAGAAGAAAAGCTTCGCTTTGGGCGATGGTTTCAGAGGGCTCAGTCCATGATCCCGGGTATTAAAGTAGAACATCCTGGCGGCAGGAGCATTGGGTAGAGGACAGCTATTTACACCACAGAAGACAGGAGACAGCCAGCCTCAAAACGGCTACAGCTGTGCCCTCAAGATCTTGCCCTACTGACTTATTTCTCCATCTAGGGCCCTACTTCCAAAATTTCCAGAACCTCCCAAAATAGCGCCACCAGCTGTGGAGCAGACATTCAGAACACGGGCCTCTGGGGGCATCAGACTCAAACCATAACAACTTCTCAGGTTATTTAAGCAGCTTTTTCAATGAAGGGCAATTGATCAAAGTATGAATTAGGGATTATAGCATTTCATATAAAATGAACTACTTGGCAGATTTGTAAATGAGATGGTTGGATGAGAAAAGATAAATATGTATATTTTCTAGCCTCACAACACCTACATTAGGGCTCCAGGCATTGCTAAAATTCATGAAAGTTAATAGAATGAATACATAAATGAGTGGCTTTAACAGGAGAAAAGAGAGTAGGAAGATGCTGAGGGAGCTTGACAAATGTAGGAACAGACTTAATAAGGTCCTTAAAATCAATAAAAGAATTTGTGATATGGATAACTAAAATAAAAGGAAAAAGGTAGTCAACATGAGTTATTAAAAGATGAACATATTTTATGGTGACATCCTTGATTGATGGGAAGGAAGTTATCATTATTCCAATATTTAAATTTTAATCAAAGTTTTAATTTACGAAGTAGAAGGAAATGTTGAGAGTTAGGACTAGCATGTGAGAAAGACTAACAGGGACTCTTAGGTTCTGCGTCCTTCAAAAGATATGTGTGATTAGTGTATGCTTCTAGAACAACAGTAAAGATTGCTAAGAAAAAGTAGGAAATGGGCTAAGCACAGTGCCTCACACCTGACCCAGCACTTGGGAAGCAGGGGCATCCCTGGGTGTAAAGCCAGCCTCGTGTACATATTGAGTTTTGGACAGCCAGGGCTATACACACACACACACACACACACACACACACACACACACACACACGAAGAGAGGTCTGGAGAGATGGCCCAGTGATTAAGAGCACATAGACTACCCTACCAGAGGACTCAGCTTCAGTTCTCAGTACCCACATGGTGGCCCACAACTGTCTGTAACTCCTCTTTCTGGGGATCCCACACCGTCTTCTGGCCTCCACAGGCACAGGCATGTAAGTATTGTATAGATATATACTCATACCATAAAATAATAAGAGAAAATAGGAAAAGAACTGATACTCAGGGGCATCTTGAGATGGCACAAGGAAGGCATGCCATCATAAGATATGTGTTCTTTAAAAATTTAATTTAAAATTTACAGTGGATTCTATTCTACAGTTTTAAAAAAAAAAAATCCTGGCAGGTGGTGGTGGCGTACACCTTTAATCCCAGCACTTGCGAGTCAGAGGTGGGTGGATCACTTAGGAGGCAGAGGCAGGTAGAGCTCTGTGAGTTCAGGCCAACCTGGTCTACAGAATGAGCCAGGGCTATTACACAGAGAAACCCTGTCTCAAAAAAAAAAAATCCTATGTGTTGTATATATAATAAATATTTTAGATGGAACTAGAGAGTTAACAATGAAACTAATGTCCCACCTAAATCTGGTTGCTTTGTTTAAAAAGGATGTGTCAATGTATTTAGAAGGTAAGAGTGACGACATTTGAATGAATGGTCCTTGTTTTGCCACAGATTTTTTTTCTCATACATTATTGTTTAAGGTTCTGTATTGAAGGCTGATTTTGGTGTATAGAAAAGTTACAAAAATTACCTGGATAGTTTGAATCCCCACCATCAGACCTTTCCAGTGTTGAACAAATCTAGTGGTCAGTTAGAAAGTTGTTTCCCCTGAGAGAGACCCTGTTAGAACATCACCCACATGGTGTATGCAATTACTGATTTTATATACAGTCTATTGACTTGTCGTTCAGTCCTACTTTGCTATAATGTAGTTCGAGCATTGCTAATCCAAGAGCTGGGTGTTATGAGGCACACATATGTTCTCAGCACTGGGAAGGCAGGGTAGGAGAATCAGGAAGTCAAGGCCTTTTTTTGATACGTACTACGTTAGAGGCCAACCTGGACTGTGTAAACTGTCTCCTAAACAATTATAGGAGCAAATCTAACTACAATACAATATTTGTGTATTTTTTTTACTTTTAGCCTTACAGTTTTCAGTCAAAATACTTTTTTTCCAATATTGTTTACGTTCTTCTCTTCCCCTCAGTGTGGCTGCATTATTTATGATGATACGGGTCTTGAACCTCTAATTTGGTATTTCTGCAGTGTGTTCTGAAACACAGTAAACACAGTCTACCATCCTGACTCCTCATACTTTTACATAGACGTGGCTGGAAATAGGATAGCTTTTTGTTCAATTCCAGGACAGGTCTGGTTTAAAGGAGCCCAAAGCTGCCTTCACCAGCTGTGAGATGAACAAGAGGAAATGTCCTTCGACTCGCATCAGGGCAAGATAACAGGCTGTGTATTCAGAATATTTCACAACACAGACCTGATAGAAATATTCATATAGAATATTATCAGGGGGTGCAGAGATAACTTAGCTATTAAGAATACTGGCTGCTCTTCCAGAGGATCTGGGTTCAATTCCCAGCACCCACATGACAGCTCACAACTCTCTGTTAACTCAAGTTCCAGGGGATCTGACACCCTCACACCAATGCACATAAAATAAATAAGTTTTTTTTTTTTTTTAAAAAAAAGAATATTATTGAGAAGACTTTAAGGAATCTCTTTCTAGGAGTCGCTCCAGCCTAGGTCTCCATCATTGTTTATGCTTTGATTCTGGATTTTAGTTGTACCTCTAAATTCTTAACATTTCATCTTAAGCCATTTAGTTAGTTAGTTAGTTAGTTAGTTAGTTAGTTAGTTAGTCTTGGGGGTTTTTTGCTGACTGGCAGCTCGCTATGTAACCCAAGCTGGGCTCAGACCCAAAGCAGCCCACTTGCCTTGGCTGTCCCAGGGCTGGTGGGCCAGAGAACTGATAGACTTGTGCGAGACTCTGCCCCCACCCATCTCAGTGCACACATCAGGTATGGCGGCCCTCATGTCATCCCTTCCCGTCTCCTCACTTCCCCCTCGTTCTGTCGGGAGCTTGTTTTTGGACAGCGACTTTTCAGGAGAGTCAATCCTATTTTCTCTTTGATCTGGCAGCGAAATCTCTTAGGGAGATTGAGCAATTCATGTGTCGTAGCTAATTAGCAGAAACAACATGGGATTAACTATGAAATCTTAACACTGTTTGGAAAGTGCCTTCTTAATTCTCTATTCTGAAATACATTTTTGTTTAATATGATTAGCAACTCTGTGATCCCTTCTGCTTGGGAAGGTGGCAGAAAACAATGGAACATGGGGTGATATTAGCCTAAATCTGTGTTCTCTGGGGAGAAGGTTCTGATGTGCGTCTTTGGTTAGGTTTTTCTGCTAGAGGGTAAGATAGTAATGACCCACAGGAATTGTTTTTAATATTATGCCTGTGGTGTAGAGCTTTCCAAAAATCCCCCCTAAACTAGACCAAGAAGACATGGTAATGGGGGGGGAGAGACCTTGCATTTTTTTTTTCCTGGCAGGATGCTGGAAACTGTAGTTAAGTAGAACATCATTTGTGCAGCATGGTTCCTTTCCAAAGATCTTACTGTTATCAGAATGCCCACAGAGCACAATAACAGCCACTGTCCTCTGCAGTGTCCGGGGAGGGGGCCTCTTTGCAGATCAGCTGTAGAGAAAGAGAGATGCCAAAGCGTGCGTGAAGCATATGGAGATTGGTGAAACCCTGCCCCCAGGCTTATTGCCAAAGCCACTGTGTGGGCTACATTTTCTAAGGTGTTGGAGACGTATGCATTACTTTTATAGAGTGAACTTT